TTTCCAGTTCCCTGATCACCCCTTGTTGCCCTCGTATGGACTTGTTCCAGTTTGTTAGGATCCTTCTTAAAGTGTGATGTCCAAAACTAGTTTTACAACAATAAACCATTTGTTACATTTACATCCTACTTTCCTCTACTGAGCTTAAGGTGGCACATGTGGCTCTCTTTCCCCACATTATCTTTGAAATACCCCTGTTCTTTAGGGCCCAGTGAAAAAGTCACTGGCTTACGATCACTTTTTTCAATCTAAACTGTGCTATCAGTGATCCATATATTGATCTATATGCTGGTGTGGACACAGTCACACTGAGTTTCATGGTTCAGTGGGACTAATTCTATAGCCCTCTGGCATGCTTTTGCCTTACTCACCTCTTTTTCTAGGCTGTAAATCATTCCACGTAAGGATATTGCTACCGTCATTTGATAATTCCGGTTGCTCTTTTCCAGCTCTACCGTCTGTAAAGGTTTGGATATTTGTGTTTTGTGATACAATTTCAAGAATCTCCCCAGGCAACATGGCCAAACCCTATTGTTTTTTAAAAAGGCACTGCTATCAGAACTGTATATAGTGGCTGAAAAGGCATAACTTAGTGGTGAATTGCCACAAGTTAAGAACATTTATTTTTCAAATACATTAATATATTTTAAACTAATTTTAAAATATTAATGAATATTTTTATTTACGACAATATTTTAATATAGCCATTAAATTAATGCTAATGTGTTAACTTTTTGAGTTAAGCTTTAACATATTTTCCAATGTCTAGAAGGGAACAGGCACTCATTTTTCCCTGTAACTGCAGGTGCTTTAGGGGGATTGCTTAAGCACTCAGTATCATGAGGATTCTTTTCCATTAAAAAGCTTGTGAGAATCTCTGTATTTCTTTTCAGCCGTAGAGAAACTGAAAGCAAGATCTACTATGGTCATGCCCTGGTTTCCTAGAGCAACTGCTGTTTCTGAGCAGTAAAGAGTCCCTTGGACTCCAGCCAGAGAATTTACCATCGCTTGAGTGGGAAACTAGGATCCTGGGTTCTTCCCTGCCAGATTTAGCCACAAAGGGGACTGAACGCAGGATTGTGGCTGATCATGGGCAACTGGCCTGACAGGTGCATGGAAACATCTTTGGTCTGGCAAGTGGCTGATACAAATCAACGTGTAACAATGACAAACAACAAACCATCACCAAGTAAACAAAAGAGCTCAGGGGTTAAATCCAGCTGGCTCTTAGACCCAGCATGGGCAAACCCACTGAACAAATGGAATGTCATTAAGTCCAACCTTGTATGACTCATTGATTCACTGTGTCTGTTCTACTTGAAAGTCACAACTGGATTTCAACATGGGGTAATTTATCAAGCTCCTTGCAAACCACAGTGAAATATCTGCCTGTTGCACATTTAAAAAACAGAATGGGGGGATACTGCTATGAATTGTTCACCTTTGGCAGCGGAGTGGCATTTAGCAGTTTATTTAGACAACCCTTGCTCCACTTAATTAGAGGACTAGCCCTGCTAGTTAAGTCCATTAGATGTCCTCTTACAGGATATCGGGCAACACAATTTAATGTTATATACAATAAATACATTTAATTACAATCTACAGGTGTCATCTTTTAAGAGGCACATCCCTTTCATTTGGCACCCAAGAATGAATGCCTCTGCTAGGATGGCAACCATTGAATAATATATATGTGGCATCCCATAATAAGAGAAATACACTATTCCTCCAGAACAATTGTCTGGTCAGATACACATTTGTCCAGACTTCAGATAGGATGCTAAGGCGGTTAAATATTTGATTATTCATTGCAAGAATTTAAAAAAGAAAAAACCACAATAGCAGAGGTGACAGTCCTGTTGAGTTAAGCAACCAGTGATGAGGATATGTGTCCACAATAGCTTTTCCAGCTATTGTGCACACAAGATTTGGCATAACCAGAGGCAAGATACTGTGCCAGGGCACAGGGTTGAAATGAAACCATTATGTCTTCTGATTACTGCTGTCTAGCTCATCACTGTGACAAAATTAATTGAGTGTTACTCTAGGTCAGTTTGATAGCACTTTAATTGCCATGATTCCATCTTAGGGAATCCTGGGATTTGTAGTTTGACAAGAGGCTTGGAACTGAAGGCCACAAAACTCCAATATACAGTACACCCTTGAACGACAGCAGATAATTCTAACTGCCTTATCAAACTACAAATCTCAGAATACCATTGGATGGAGTAATGTTGTTCACGCGAACGCATACTAAAAGAAGCAGTTTATCTGGGCTGATGCCGAAGTATCACCATGGATGAACATTTTGTCTTCAAACAGAATGAAGTATGTTATAAACCCGCTAGGTTTGAATCCATCACTACCCAGGGCAAGTGAAGGGCATACCGTTCTTTTTGTCTTTCCTTATTTAGAAAAAGCATATTGGCACATTCCTGCTGAAAAGGAGAATGGATAGCATAACAAGAGAGATAAAGAACCCTTTGTGGCATAAGTGGGAAAAATGTCTTATCGTCTGCTTTAAGCCTTTTATGATGCTGGCAATTGAAAGTTGAGACTTAGAACTGTACAGCTGGAATGAAGGCGAGTCCAGTCAACTGTTGAACAGCTCTTACTGTCAAGTTCCTCCTAATGTTTAGGTGAAATCTCCTTTTTTGTAATTACTTCAGTTCCTATTCTCTGAAGCTACAGAAACAAAATTCCTCTATCTTTCACATAATGGCCTTTCAAATATTTGAAGACACCTACCATATTTCCTACCAAGACATCTACCAACATGAATTTGACCCAACTCCGGGAGGCAGTGGAAGACAGGAGGGCCTGGCATGCTCTGGTCCATGGGGTCACAAAGAGTCGGACATGACTTAATGACTAAAGAACTACCATATTTCCTCTCAATCTTTTCTTTTCCTGCTTAAACCTACCAATAATTTCTCATAAGAGTTTCTGGATTATTATTTTTTTTTTTACCATCCAGGTAACCTCTTCTGGACATGTGCTACCTTACTGATATCCTTCTTAAATCATGCTGCCCAGAAATGAACAGAGTATTCTAGGTGAGCCCTAGAATATTACTTCCCTTGATTGGGACACCATATTTCCATTGATGGAATTAAGTACAGTACTGTATTGCATTTGGATTTCTTTCTCTTTTAATAGCCAACACATCACACAGCTGACTCATGTTCTGCTTGTGGCCTGGTAATCACAATGGGCAGAACGTGCAAGTCCATATTCCCAGCTTTCAGCTCAAATTTAGTTCTGAATAAACACATTTCAGGTAGCTGGCTCAAGACTGACTCAGCCCTCCCTCCTTCCGTTGGTAAAATGAGCAACCAGCTCGCTGAAAGGCAACGCGCTGTTTGCATAATTACGTTGTCAGCAACATGTCAAAGTGACTACATTATAGACATTTGATAATTAGCACTGAGGGCTTGAGAGTAGTTGTCATCTGGGAAATCAGGACAAAATAAATATGAAGAGCAGTGTCCCTCTAATTTTCTGAGTACTGAAACAAACCTTACTTTCAAGGTTAAAATATGCCAGAAAAAAAACCCCTTATCAGTGCTGAGCAACAGCACCAAGATTGTTTTCCAGGCTGTTCCTGGACTCCCTTAATGCTACCCATAAGGTTTCTTCTCCCCCCACCCCATTTTGTCAAAAAAATGTAATTTACCACTCCTAGATGCTGCCACGAATTGTAGTTTTGCAGTACCTACACCATTAGTGTAGCCCAGTCTCATTAGTATACCTCACTGCACACCATGTTGTCAAAAATGTCATTAAAGGCCATTTCTGCTCACTAAGCTGGTTCTGCCATATCTGGATTTCTTTAGAGGTCATGCCCAGGCAATCAGACTTGCCCATTAAGTTCATGTTTACCTCCCACCAACCAATCACAAGAGACACTAAAAGCAAGATACACTATCAAAATCATGTGTTGTAACAAAGAGATGTCTTTTACTGCCTGTTTGTGAAAGGAGGTACTCTCACAAACAGATGTTGAATTTCTTCTAAAGATGTACCTTTTCAAATGACAAAAACCAGGAATCTCACCAAATGACTCCTGCAAAAGTAACAAGTAAACATTGCAGTTTATGTTGAAAACCCCAAAGTCTAATTCAGGTTCACCTTGTTCTCAGTGAAATGCTCAACTGTAATATTGTCTCATGTTATTCCGAAAAAAGAAAATTAACAATTTTTTTAACGTACTGCTTCTAGGCTCCAGAACAGTGTGCGATAATAGGAGGCTGAACAGGTTTGTACATATGGTTGTTCTTGATGCTTCCGTTTCAAGTACCTCTGAGATCTGCAAACTCCAGAGGTCTGGAGTCTAAATATTGCTCATTCTTGGATGGCTATTCTTGTTTCCCAGCCCCCCATTTTTTTAAAATGGGAGGGGGCTTGAAAATGGCACCTTCAGCTCTCTAGTGGCCATTTAGTTTTTTAATTTTTTTATTTGCAAGTATGTAAGATCTGGTAAGTGTGAAGGCAAGAGGAGAAGGGGACGACAGAGGACGAGATGGTTAGACAGTGTCATCGAAGCTACCAACATGAATTTGACCCAACTCCAGGAGGCAGTGGAAGACAGGAGGGCATGGCGTGCTCTGGTCCATGGGGTCACAAAGAGTCGGACACGACTTAACGACTAAACAACAAGAAATGTGCAGGTGTTGAGAAGGCCCCTTAATAATTATATGGGCCATCAAGTCGATTCCAACTTATAGCAATGCTTGCCAGGGTTCTCAGAAGGAATTTACTAGCTTCTTCTTCCAGGGTGCTCTAGGACTGTGTAGCTTGCTCAAGGCTACACCGGTTGGCACTTCTCCTGGGAGACAGAGGGGGGAATCAAAATCCTGTCTCTACATCCTGTTTTCCACCATGGAGAAAACTCTCACTGCAGTCAGAATGGATGAAATGCATACAGTAAAAGGTTCAAATTAAGTTTAGCATGACCTGACCCTCCCCATCTCTAAACAGGAAATCATGCAAGATTTCAGCTTCAATTTTATTTATTGTTTTACTTAATAATAATTAAAAAAAGAGAATTTTTCAGTGTTTTCTTTTTTTAAAAAAAATACTGTTCAAATCCTTAGAACCGTAGCACTGGGCCTTAAAAATCCCCCAACATCCCCTTGCTTCAGTCCCAGAGGATGGATGGCTGAAATGCTTTAGAGTGCTACTTCCAAATGGGGAAACACGTACACGCTCTCTTCCTCAAACGGGGATAAGGAGAGGAGGGGCAAGGAAACTATTCTTCTTTTAAACCTCAAGAATAAACCCAGTGACACTTTAAAGCAGATAAAGAGGGTGAAGGAACTGGGTCTGAATGTTTTAGCCACATACAGTATGTGTCACCTCTCTCAAGGGGGGTACTCAGGTAAAGGGACATTTTGCTAAATAGATTGGAAGAAGCTTAGTGGCACATTTTAACTGTACCATTTGGCACCAGAAGCGCCGGGGCGGGGTGTGTGAGAGAAATCCTGAGTTTTCACAATACCAGAATATGAATTTGGTGTTTATAGAGAAAGAAAGCTTTCCTGCACTCCTTAGAAAGAGGAAAAAAAATTAAATTCTCCGCAGGAAAGGTAAAAAACTGTACTCTAAGTTAAACATCTTGCTCATGTTCTTTTCCTCATCCCTTGTTGAGATGTTTCTGATCTTCCTTCCCCCTCCCTACAGAAAGCCCCCCACCCCAATCAAAATATGATTCCGAGGAATATTAATATTAATGTTATTAATAATCATGCACCCCAACCTCTGCAGGGTGAAAAGGAGAAAGAGACATCCCCTATAGCCCTGAAAGGTCCTTGCCTCGCCCCTTCATACCCCCCTTGACATACAGTGGGGGCATCTATTAATCCATTATCAGTTAAGAAATCAATGCCAGTTTCATGGGATTCCCCATGCTGGGAGAAGCAGGGGCAGTTTGGAATATATTTAGACCAGCAGGACGGAAAGGAACCCATCTTCCCATCCCAAGGTGGCAGGAGAAGATAAAAGAGCAGGTGAGAGAGAAAGAGGAGTCCCACGAAGTTAGGTCTGGTCTCGGGTCAGAACGGGAACCACATCTGGTGGAGAAGAGAGACAAAGAGAGGAGGTAAGCAACAGTGGCACTGAACCCTAAGACCCAAGCAAACCTTTGTCCAAGATTTGGCCCCACTGCATTGACAGGGTGGCTCTGTGTACTGGGTGGGCCCATGGCATATCTAGACCACTCGGCTGAAGCTTCCGTCTTCTGCTGGTTTTATTGAACAAACTCTGACTCTTCCATGTAACCAAGGACCCTGTAAAGTAGTCACAACGTGGTATTTATTGGCACGAAGAACCTCCTATCTCTGGGCCTGATCTGGGCAGTAGACGTTCTGTGTCCATCTCTTTCAGCTAGAAGAGGATTCCCTGTCATCTCTGATCAATGAACAGGGATCCCAGGAAATCCTCTGATCAATGACCAGAGACAAGGGGGATACCCTTTATCACTTTCAGCTGGCCCCGCTAGGGGCTCCTGCAAGCACTGGATAGGGGCAGTTTCCTCCTCCTGTCCTTTCCCCATGTGGGGAAGAGAGCAGAGGATGAGTGAAGCCTTGTTCCTGGATGAAGCGAGAGATGGGGAAGTTATGCCTGGCATTCTGGCCACCAGTCCAATGCATATGAGGAGCCCGACCAAGCCTCCTAAATACAGAAGGAGCTCAGGGTGGTAGGAAGCAGTTTCACCCAGCCCATTAAGAAATGGTTTCTCATCGCCTCAGAGCAAGTGCAGGCCGTGTGTGGCTCTCCCTTTGCCGATGCTGGACGGCAACTCTTAATATTCCTCCCGAAACGCAATCCTGGCTGAGGCTGACATAACTTGTAGTCTGTGACTGGAGAAGTTCATTCTTTGCCCAAATGGATCTAAGTGGCATTCAGCCAAACTCACAAGGGATTTCTCTCTTCTCCTTGCCACTGCCTGGGGCTTCAGGTAGCAGTAAGGAGGCCTATGAAGGCAAAAGCAGAGCAAAGGTGTTTCTTTGGACTCCACCTTCCACACAACCCTGGTGGCTGGAGGATTCTGGAGACTTTAGTCCATAAAATGGAACAGCAACAAGCTCTGGGCTCAAGTGTGGAGTCCCATTCCTCCACACACATACATCCACACACATTTTGGCAGTGTGCGAGGCAAACAACTGAGTAAGGTTTTGAAGCACTGACCTTTTATTTTAAATTATAGATCCTGTTCCTCTGACCCCCATTTTAAAGACTTCTTGGCCTAAAGGACTGAAATGGAGTGGGACAGAGATTCAGCCGGTGACATCCAGATCAAGTAACTTGGGGAAATGCTGGGACTGTCTCTAAGTTAAATGCCATTAGTTTCAATGGATCTGCTCAAATTAATGCTAGGTGTTATCTTGGGGGGGAGAGGGAGAAAGGGCAGTTGTTAATTTTGTTACCCCACAGGCTGTGGTTTGAAGTTTTGCTTTGGTTTCCTTTATTGAATTTCATATCAAACCTATTCAGGGCCCAGGTCTGTCTATAAAGCTTGATGTTGTGCTGTAAAATTCATTTGTCTTGCCTTTTGTGAGTGGCTTTGGTTTATATTTACGGAAAACAAAGTAGCTATAGACACAAAGTTTGAGGGGAAGACAAAGTTTACACCTTTTTGATAAACTGCATGGTAGCAAATTGTAAAACGTCAACTTGCTATATGTGTTAGCCATAGTTTTCTGGTCTGGACAAAACAGGAAACCACAGCTAATTAAAATCTTCTTGGTTAGCTTGCTCGTACTGCAGCAAGAGAACCAAAGGGTCTGAGTACATATTAAGTACATTGTTCTTATCTTCTAAGTTGCTGACTGTTTCTAAGATGAAGCTCCCATTTTTCTACCCCAGTTCCTCCTACCATGTCATTTCTCAGCCCAGGCAGCAGGAGGCGCTCATTCATCCCCAGCAGTCATTCCTCTCACAGTGCCCTTCTGGCGTATCTGCAATGTAACAACAGCCCTCTCAGCATATGGTATCTTTGAAGTCCAGTGGCTGCCTCCTGCCCTCACTATTAATCAACTAATATACCTCTCAATCTTCAAGATATAATAGCTGGTACCTATTAGGCTAGTGTGTTTAACAAAAACAAAATAACATTGAAAAACAAAGACAAATGAAAGAATCCCACTGAAAGCCAATTATTGTGCACCTTTAAGACTAATAGATTCATTTCAGTGGCTGAAATCTTGTTGTGTAACGTACGCAAATTTATAAGTTTCAGTCCATTCCTCACGAAGTAAAAATGATGAGTGCAACATCTGGAAAGAAAGCCAGGTTATGGAAAGCTGCTTTAACAGATAAAATTGATTTTGAGGTTTTTCTAATCTACCACAATGGTATCCAACTTCAGTCAAACAACACAGTGTCTGTAGATATGTATATTCCCCTCAATTCTGTGTTTTTCTACATATGCTTATGCCCCTGTGTATCTATACCCATGCATTAGTCAATTAAACAAAGAATTACCTTTCTAGTAGATCAGAAATGCTTTCTGATTAGTTAAATTAGTTTGTCTATCTGTTAAAGCAGCTTCCATAACCAGAGAACCTCCAGATGTTTGGGATTGCAATTCACACCAGCTCCAGGGTAGGGAGACAAGGATGATGAGATCTGTAGGCCTAACTTCTAGAGGACAGACTGACGTTGAGAAAGGCAGAATTAACTGGCTCAAAAATGACACTGGCTAATTTTGCAACTAGGTAAGAGTTGTGGCCTTGCAGGTGTGGCTTTTCCTAGTGAGAAGATCCATTTTTAACTGCAAGTTTTGTATCCCATCAAATGAACTGTGTGAGATAGAATGAATCATCCAATGAATTTTGTAGCTCAATAAAACAAAACCCGGAATTTCCTAAGTCCCCCTCAACAGTCTTGTCAATACATCGCAGTGATCTTCAGGAGCTCGGAAGGCCACCACAAAGCCCTGAAACTTGCTGCCATCAGTCTTAGGTGCCTCATAATGGTGGCACACAATCTGTGTTGCCCTCAGATGAGATCTGCCTGTGTGCATGCCCAAATGGCACTAATGGGCAAACAGAGGGTATTTGAATTTCTTCAAAGTAGGTCTCTCTATATAGACTGTGCGAATTTGAACAACAATCAATACACACCGTCTACATTTCAAGCAGATCTACAGATTTACTTTAACAACAGTAAGTTTGTCAGTTGGAATTCTTGACACTGTCTCTGTTGTGCTTTAATTTTCTCTGTTGCATTTCAGTACAAAATGAAAATGAAAAAATGATCTTTGCAAGATATCTTGTACAGGCAAAGGCATTCTCTGAGATGCAGCAACAGGGAAAAGTGCATTTCCAAAAAGGTGCCATGCAGGTGTGGAAGACACGGATGTCTCAATGTACACACACATACAGAGAGGCAACAACCTTATTTCTTATGTGTGCCCTTCCAACACGCTCAACCCACCTCCCCACCCCAGAATACCTCATCCAGCTCCCTCTGTGTCTCTTCCTCCATCCTCCGGATGTCAGCCATGGTTAAATCCACCCATTTATCCAACCAACAGAACAGCTGCCTGTGGAAGTTGGTAAAAAGGCGTCTTTCTTGCTGTAAGAGGAGAAGAAAGGCTTCAAAAATGGGACGCTATTAATATAAGATGCCCCAAAGCACCAAATCCTAGCCTGCATTCTGGAAGGAAGGGTGTACCAGGCCACCATGAGCAAAGTCTGCTGAACAAGTTAGGCCTTGTGCTTTAGGTAAAGGTAAAGGTTCCCCTTGACATGTATTCGTGAACGCTTTCACGGCCGGGATCTAATGGTTCTGAGGCTGTGCATTGGGGCTGTCCTCTGAAGATGCCGGCCACAGAGACTGGCGAAACGTTAGGAAGAACAACCTTCAGAACACGGCCAAAGAGCCCGAAATCTGGGGCTGTCCTTTGAAGATGCCGGCCACAGAGACTGGCAAAATGTTAGGGAGAACAACCTTCAGAACACGGCCAAAGAGCCCGAAAAACCCACAACAGCCGTTCCCCTTGACATTTAGTCCAGCCGTGTTTGACTCTTAGGGGGCGGTACTCATTCCAAGCCATGGAGCCAGCATTTGTCTGAAGACAGTTTCCATGGTCACGTGGCCAGCGCGACTAGACATGGAACACTGTTACCTTCCCACCAAGGTGGTACCTATTTATCTACTCGCATTTTTACATGCTTTCGAACTGCTAGGTTGGCAGGAGCTGGGACAAGCGACAGGAGCTCACTCCATCATGTGGATTCGATCTTACAATGGTTGGTCTTCTGACCCTGCATCACAGAGGCTTCTGCGGTTTAACCCGCAGCGCCACCACGTCCCTAGGCTTTGTGCTTTAGTTGCCAGTTAAAACCCCAAATCCCATCTCCCCTTATTGCACCACCAATGACTCATGTCCAAACCCAGCTCAGCATGAGCAATTCCCAGGCGAGACTCACCTTCTGAATAAATTTTTCCACTCGACCCTGAAGGCCCCACCAACGGAACTTGATGGTCACAAGTTTGTAGGCACACATATGGGGACAATCTTCGTTATTGGCCAGCTCTCGCTAGCAGTAAAGGGGGAAAAAGAACAGAAGCGTTAATCCTAGAATTGCTGCCAAAATGTCAAAGCAGAAATACAGGAGCTCCACTCAGGCAAAGCATTTGATGGGATTCTGAGGGAAGTGAGAAGAGACATGATTTAAGGCCACCCTCATCCCAAATTACTCACATGGGCTTTATTCACTGCTGCTTTTACTTTCCTGTGATCTCCAGAGAATGGCAGAGTCTTATAACTCACAATTTAACCCGACTCCAGTGCGTTTTAACATGCACTGTGCACAAAACATGTATAAAACCCATACATGAAACCTCTTCTAAAGAACTCACTGAGCCACAACAAAGCATCTTGAGTGGTAAGCCTGTAGCAGGTGGGATTTCAATGATTTTTTTTTTAAAGAATACCTTTTTTTGGTTCGTTATATTCACTTAGTTCCTCCCACATGAAGTCGTATTATGCCACCTTACTGTAGGACGACTGTCGTGTTGTAGTGAAATGATTTTGGGTTGTTGTTTTTAAAACTTTTTTTGGTTTGTTATATTCACAGTTCCTCCCACATGAATTGTATTATGCCACCTTACTTAATTTATGTATTTATTTATTTAATTTATACCTTGCCCTTCTAGACCAAAGTCTACTCTGGGCGGCTAACAACAATCCAATTAATAATAAAATAAAATAACAACATTAATACAATTGAAGATGGCAATAAAGAAATTAGGTATTGACAGGAGGGAAGACCTGCCTAAAGAGCCAGGTCTTGAGTTGGCTCTTAAAAGCACCCAGAGAGGGAGCCAGACAAATTTCTGGGGGGGGAGATTGTTCCAGAGGCAATGGACCTCTGCCGAGAAGGCCCAATTTCTTGTTCTTTCTCTCCAGGCCTCTCTCGGCGTTAGGCCCCTCAACCGCCCATCCTGGCTGAAGCAAGTGATTCTTGCTTCCTAAATGATTACTGTAGGACGACTGTCGTGTTGTAGTGGAGAGGTGATGCTAGATGCTTGGAGGTAATTTTAATGGAGCATTATGTCTAGCTGGTTCTACCAAGCAATAAAACTTCAATGGAGTATGGGCAGAATTTGCGTCCAGCATGCAAAAAACAGAATGATCAGGTTTGACTCTGCTCCATTTGTGAGGTTTTGTTGAGCAGACATACGAGAGGGAGCCAGACAAATTTCTGGGGGGGGAGATTGTTCCAGAGGCAATGGACCTCTGCCGAGAAGGCCCAATTTCTTGTTCTTTCTCTCCAGGCCTCTCTCGGCGTTAGGCCCCTCAACCGCCCATCCTGGCTGAAGCAAGTGATTCTTGCTTCCTAAATGATTACTGTAGGACGACTGTCGTGTTGTAGTGGAGAGGTGATGCTAGATGCTTGGAGGTAATTTTAATGGAGCATTATGTCTAGCTGGTTCTACCAAGCAATAACACTTCAATGGAGTACTGGCAGAATTTGCATCCAGCATGCAAAAACCAGCCTAGCGAAGTCCAGACAGGCTTATTAAAAGAAGGCTTATGACTAGGTGATGAATTAGCACAGCAGCTATGAACACAACTATGGTTGGAACAGCTGCAAACTACCTAGTTGTAGGGACTACCAGATGAAATAACAGATCTTCAAAGAACACGCACATCAACAGAAGAAGCTGTTTTAAACTGTGTCAGACTGTGGCCCTCAGTATTTTCAGCCCTGACTGTTAAAAAACAGCTCTTCGTGGTCTCAGGAAGAATTCTTTCAAAGCCCTTTGCTGAGATCCTTCATGTTCCCTGGCAGCCTTTGAACTAAAGAAGGATCAGGTTTGACTCTGCTACATTTGTGAGGTTTTGTTGAGCAGACATACCTTCCAGTCAGGACCAAGAGGGCCTCTGCCTGTCTTCTGTGACTTGAAAAGAGCTGGGTCCTCATCTGGCTTGTAATCCTGGGAAACAAGAGACAAAAGAGATGGCGAAGGCTGGAGCAAGAAACAAGCAGACGGGCATTAAAACCAGAAGGATGCATATAATGAAGATTTCTCTCTCTTTATAGCCAGGGGAAAAAAGCAGCTGGAAAAGCATACTCCTCAATCAAAAAGGAAAGCGTAATCAAATTGCTAAGTCTCCTGATATATCTTCGAGCAGAAAATAACTGCTCTGATATCACAGTGGCGGGACGAATGCTATCCTTGTTTAAAACGTAACAATGTGCAGAAAAACAAAGGGATATTTTCTAGTCCTGAATATCACTGGCATATTTAAAAACACTGCTAAAGCTGTTTTAGCAATGAAAACAGGAGTTCTCAACTACAGTATGTCCCAGCATCAGTGAAGCCCTAGGTGAGATAAAGCATCCCCTGCTATTTGGGAAGTTTTTACTTTTCAAGTTAAAAATGGGCAAGAAAAAAAGTTGTGGTTTTCCTAACTAGAGGTGTTCAGAGTTGTAGTTTCAGATTACAGCTCCCAGAATCCCCCTCAGCTATGCTGCCTGACGGGGATTCTGGGAGTTGCAATCCAAAACTACAAATCCACACACCTCTAAGAGCTTGGACTAGTTGATCTTTGGAGTCCCATCTAACTCTAAAATTCTGTGATTCTGGGATAAGGAACGGAAGGGCTACAAGCTCCAAATTATATCTTTTCTAAGGCTAGCAAGCAATTCCTCTGGTGTGCGTAGGGACAGGAGAGAGGTTAGTTTAGAAAAACGAAGAGCAGGCTGACATATATACAGAATGATGTGTGATGCAAAAAAGGAAAAACAAGTATTTTTTTTCCTTCTTTCTCATAATAATAAAATGGTGGAAGATTCAAGGGAAATAAAAGGGAGAATTTCTTCACTCAGGGCATAATAAAACTATGGAACTTACTGTCACAAGATGTAGCAATGGCTACAATTTGGAGTGATCTTAAAAGGGGATAAGGCCAATTCACGGAGAATAAGACTATCAGTGTCAACTTCCAGGGTCACAGGCAGTATGTTCCTCAGCAGTATTTCCTGAGGAACAACAGTGGGAGAGGTCTATTGTCCTCATGTTCTGCTTGTGAGTTCCCTGTAAACATCTAAGGGAACAGAATGCTAGATCAGATACAGGAAGTCTGGACAGACTGAGGCCATCTTTCTTTCCCCTGTTATAACTCGGAGCAAAGGGAAGGGGAGAAACTGTAGCAACACTCGACAAGCCTAAAACCTCTTGCTGTGAGGTGAGGCCCTTCCTCAAAGCCTGACATAACAGCAAAAGTATCTGGAGAGATCTCCCACATCATAGGTAACTTAACTGGGACATGGGTGACCTCTTCTGCAATACTTGGCTTTGAGGAAAAACCTGCTCAGATCCAGGTACTTTGGTACAAGGAAGCAACTGAGGGAATTACCTCAGTTGCTTCCTTTGCCTCATACAGCTCTTTACGGGGCCCTATATGTTCTCTTGCCTCACACAGCAGAGTATTGCTGTCTGGTTCTATTCTTCTGACGGCTCTCAGTCTGGAATGGATTTAAATTTGCAAAAGGGAAGGGAATTAAAAAGTTTTTGGTGGAGGTTATCATCTGGTGCTCTCCATCCTTGGGAAATCCAAAGAGAGCCTTCTTCCCAACCAATCCTGTTGGTATAAATACCCCACACAAGCCAGATGTCCTCAAAGATGCAAGAGCAAACCCCCTTCCCAAAATCTGCCTGCGTTCTCTATTAGATCAATATTTCTATGTTAAGCTGATTGTTCTCATGACTGCCAAGTGAGAATGAAAACTACCCCTTACATCATCCGACACCTGCGTCCGGTCACCAATGTCTATGTGAACAACCTCAACATCTTTCCATGTTTCAGCATCAAGCCCGTGGACCTGCAGACAAAAAAAGGGGTAAGATTTAGTATGAAATGCATGAAATTCAGGCCAAAAAATTTAGACCAACTCACTCTTATGAAGCATTTGATCTCACTGCACCACTAGTTTGTTTTAAACACCTTTACAAAACAAATAAAACAGTATATAAACAGTTGTGCATTAACCTGCACACGTGTTAAGATGATGACCAGAGCTTAGAGCATTTTAGAACATTTGTTCTAAAACAAAATGCATATGCTCACTTTTATCACCAGCAGCATAAAATGATTGCAAAACTAAAGTTATGGTTTTGAAAATACAAGTATGTCTGAACTCTTTGCTCAATTTGGGATGGTGCCTGGGAACTTAGGGTTTTCCATTTCCATGCTGACTTTTCTCATTTCCCTTTATTAAACCTATACCCCTCTTTTCCTCTATGAATAACACTTACAGTAGCTAAAAATTAAATACAAAGTGACATGCAAGTTTCTAGTTAAAACAGAAAATCAAGCCAACTAACACATTTTTTAAAAAAAGAAACAAATAGTATGTCAAACTATATTTTAGTAAGCCAGCAGTTAAAAAATGTGTCTTGATAACTAAAGAACTAAGTATTTGACCACCCACTGAAGGACAAGGCAAATGTCAGCCTTGCCTCCCTTGGTAGGAAGTACCGAAACCTGGAAGCTTCATTTGGCCACTTACATTGTCTTGGTCACCAAAATCTGGTTTGTGCCACGTTTCAATTTTGATGAAGAAATCTTCCTTCATGTATTCATTCTGCCCAAAACAAAGGAGGGAAACTATTACCCAGAATTATGATAAGACCCACAAACCTCAATGCCACTGCGGAACCCAGAAAGCTAATTTTGCCAAGTCATTCATTCTGTAGCATGTTACAAATAAGTAATCTGTTCCAGTTAACATTACAGAGTCTTTTTTTAAAATTAATCTTGCTGTATTATTCAGTGCCTGAAATCCTGTCGGCATAAATTTATTCCACAAAAGCCAGATGACCTCATCAGCCTGCAACAGAAATCTTTAATTATATATAAAGCTTCCTGCCCTCTGCTTCAGGTTTGAAAGCTCCCCAGGGATCTCTTTTGCCCTTGGAAAACATTTCAGAGCCTTGGTATGGGGGCCTTTGATATTACCACTGGTGGTCCCAATCCACTGGCAGGAGCATTGCTGGCAATTTTCCAGGAGTATAGGTTTCTCCTGCTGTCCAAGGACTCCCAAAGGTCTCCCCAAAGGCAAAAGGAATCCGTAGGGAGCTTCAGAAACTGAAGGGGGATAGGATGTTTTAAATTTAATTAAAGATTTCTGAAGCTGGGTGATGACATCATCTGGCTTGTGTGTCATACCTTTTTGCCAATAGGATTTCAGCCATTATCTTACTTGTTCTTTGTTATTTCTTCTGGGAAAACCCCCAATGTACATACCAAAATGCCTCCAAAAGTAATTTCAAAAAGATCATCAGATTTGTGTGTGTGTGTTAAAAGTAATTTCACATTTAACCTTGTTTCCTACTCATGGTATTTCATTTGTAATGCATCTTATCCTGACCTAATTACGAAAAATTAAGCCACAACAGTAACTTTGTATTTGTCACTTGCCAGCTCTGCCACAGATGATTTATACCAACAGGTTACCCAAAATGGTCTGGGTAAGTTCCTACAGGTGACACACAAACTTCATGTAGTGGATACATCAGATTCCAGTGTAATTAAGTGAAGACAGAGCTGTATCAAAAGATCAGAGAAATTCTGGGTAAGGGGTTGTCTTTTCCATGAGTTTACTCACCGTAATAACTGCAGTAGATGGGGAAAAAGTGAGAGAGAGAGACAAAAAAAGATTTAGTAAAGTAGAACAAAAAAGACATTTTTCCTAATTAGCCTCAAACAATCCCCCCCCCCCAGCAGACAGAGTTCTTTAGGCACAACGAAGCATACTGTATTTCACAACCTAACAATATATTCAAAAGGCTAGACTACTGATTCCCAAACCTAGACCCCCAGGTGATCTTAGACTATAATTTCCAAAGTCCTAATTAGGGACTTTGAGGTGCTAGCTAGGGCTTTTGAAAAGTTGCAGTTCAAGAGCATCTGGACTCCCATGTTTGGTTAGATAACAGCCTTGTTTGGAAATTCACCCACAAAATGATTGGAATCACATGAGGGACAGCTAATCCCTCTGGCCTCACCCTGCCTATTGTGTTATGACCGCCTCCATCTCCACAGCTTTCTATGCACTCGAGACTGAATTTGTAAGCTCCCAAAGCAACTCAGAATCTCTGAGCCAGGACAAGATGTTTTGCTACCTGGAACGGAACAGCAAATGATGCATGCATGCATGCATGCATGCATGCTTTGCTACCTGGAATGGAACAGCAAATGTTGCATGCATGCATGCATGCTTTCTTTCTTTCTTTCTATCTATCTTTCTATCTGTCTATCTATCTCCCGCCTATGTAGTCAAACACCCTAGATGTTATTTTGGCACAGAAGGCAATTTCCTTCCCTGTCCCTGAAAGTATAAATGTAGTAAGAACTCAAATAACCAATAATTTACTGCCCTTCCATGACAGCCAAAATCTGCTGTATGAGAAAGCCACTTCACTCTACCTAATGGTAAGGGCAGGCTCTGAAAATTCTGAAGAACTAGGCTTCAAAGTTGTACAAGAACTCTGTCCAAACAGCTTCCTGCAGCTGAAGTTCCCTTCCTGAAATCTGGAGGATTAAAGGGACAGGCAATGAGGAGATCACAGTGATGAGGTAGCCTCCCTCAAGCAGAGGGAAAAATCCAGCATAAGGCTTGTGTTTGTGGAGAAACCACCATCTTCAGTGCAGGGGTGGGGTCCTTTTGGCTTTTCAGGTGTATCTGGATGGATTTCACACAATGCCTTGTCACAGATCATGTTGAGACTAGTGGGAGGTGTAGGTTAAATCAACAGGATGGTCAAACATTTCCTACATGTTTTTCAGAAGATAAACAAGGCGACAGACATCATCCCAATCCTTTTAAGAGGTTCCACTGTGCAGGGGAAATAGAGGGTTTTCCTTATGTTTGCTGGTGTTCCTACCTGACAAGAGTGAGCATGGTGGGCAAGCATTCCATTATTACTAGAGATTTTAATTGTTTTTAAATTTGTTTTGTGTTTAATATATTGTGAGCAGCCCTGAGTAGACGTTTGTCTAGAAGGGCGGGATAAAAATCCAATAATAAATAAAATAAAATAAATAATGAACTGCTAGCAAGCTATTCCAAACCTGCTCAGCAACTCTTCCAAGAAACTGTTGGTATGTTCCCAAACATGGGTCCCCAGATGTTTCTAGACTGCAACTCCCAGAAATCCTGGCCAGCACATCTAGGGGTGAAGGCTTCTGGGACTTGCGGTCCAAGAATAACGGGGGATCCAAGCTGGGAACCACTGTTCTAGATGAAGAGCAAGCTAGATGCAAATCCAAGTGTATTTTAGCAGCCTTTGACCCCCTCCTGGTAATTATCTCCCTAGCTGAAAATGGGCAATTATTGCTTCTTAAAGGGGAGGTAAGTTGGGAACATTTTATGCTGTTTTATTCCAAATTGGATATGAACTCCAGGTTTTTTTTCAGGTTTTGAAAAAAAACAGATGGAAAAATAGAATTTTCAGAAGAAGCACGGCGTCTGACCAGTCCCTACAAGGAAACATACCTGTCAACATTCCATTCTTGAACCCTTACTCCCAGAATCCTTAATGGCCATGGTGCCTGTGGGATTGTGGGATTTGTAGTCCAAATAGCTAACTTTTTCCAGCTCTGACTCTAGATTAAATTCCTGCATGACAATACTGCATGGAAGGTAAAATGCTCTCCAAACCCTACTCCACAGATCTTGTGAATCTTTCTTAGAGCCTGAGAAAGCTGCCTTTTTAGAGGAAAACTCCCAGAATCCTGCAACCAGCTACACATCTTGGGAGTTGTATTCAGAAGAACATTTCCAACTTGAAGGGTATAACTTGAAGGGGAAGGGGATTCTGGAGCAGAAAAGTCAAGCTTGCTTAGCTGACAAGCTGATGTGCAAAAAGTTCTCTGAAAGTAAAGAGTACACAAAACCAACGCTCTGGACATCTATTATCCCTGGCACAACACTCTCGATCTCTCGCTTGCTCAGGCTCACCTGTTCGACAATAGGGATAAGCATTCCAGGCTCTTTCATGGACAACTAGAGACCCCTCAGGGGCAAACATTTTAATGAACCCAGGAACTTTGCTGCAAGAAAAAGAAAGAAGGGATGGTATCAGTGAAAGTCTGGCTCTTTGGACACCCTTATCCAAGACAATTCTTACCTCTGGAGATGGTAAATCTTGTGGGTGAACTGCCCTCGCTCCCCTTCACGTTCATAGGGTTCATTTTTGAGCACCTCAATTCCTTCACCGCCACCAGTGTTGTTCTTGCTGGCTTCGGCCACTGAGAATAACTGCCCTACTTGATACTGAAAGGAAGAAGAAAGAGGGGGTGAACACTCCACCTGTCCTTCCAAAGAGGGCCCAGCCTTGGGAAAGAGGCAAGGCACAGAAAGAAGTCTCAGACATACGTAGCTTGAAGAAACTATCTTTCAGACAGGGAATTCATTACTGTACCTGGATTATAGCCACATTAATCTGTTGTTGCAAAAAAACAATGGGGGGAGGGGCTTTGGGCTCATTATTATTATAATTTACTATTTGTTTTCGTTTTACTTGTTTGTTGTCTTTCTCCCAGTATAGGAACCTATATATTAGTTTAAAAAATGCAATTAAAATACAACTTAACCATAGCAATCAATGAGTTTTATTTGGCAGAACAATAATAATTATATGCCATTACTGTATTTTTCCGTTTATAAGACGCCCCCGTTTATAAGACAACCTCCTCTCACTTTTCTAACCCCAAAATTAAGAAAACATAGCTTTGAGTATTCAGCCTCTGGGCTCAGAACACTCAGACATTAGGAGTCCCTGTTGCATCTGATCCTACAGGATCCGCCTCCAACGAGATGTGTTCCAAATGACAGCATCAGCTGACATCAGTTCCATAAGGCTCGTGATTGGAGGAAGCTAAGTCTCCTGACTGTAGGAAGCTAAGCCTCATGATTGAAGGAAGCCTATTTACAGAGGCAAGGTACAGCCCATTTTGTTATCTCCGTGTTCTCAGCTTACTTCCGTGTAAAAGACGCCCCTCAATTTTTAGTGTAATGATTTTAGGAAAAAGTAGCGTCTCATACATGGAAAAATACGGTAAGTCAATTCTCACTTACAGTGACCCTTGTTGGCTGGATAGTTCAGTGGATTAGGTATCTGGCTTTAAGGCCAATTGGGACTTTGATTCCTAGTGAGTCTCCCAGGAGAAGAACCAACCTGTGTAGCCTCTGGCAAGCTTCACAGTCCCAAAGCACCCTAGCCCCAAGGAGAAGAGAAAGGTAAACACTTCTGAGTGCTCTCTACCTATAAAACCCTGTAAAGGATCACCACAAATTGGAATCGACTTGAAGGTGCATAATATTAATTTCTAGGTTTTTCTATGTAGAGAGTACTCAGAAGTGGTTTACCATTCTCTTCTTCTGGAAGCACTGTTTGGGCTGCATACGTTGCCTAAGGCAACACAGGCTGGCTCTTCTCCTAGGAGGGACAGGAGGGAACCGAATTTCCAACATCTAGCTCTTCAGCCACGTACCTAAGTCATTGGGCTATGACATAAACATCCATGGACCACAGAATAACCATGCATCATGGGTTATAGTTCACAAAAGGTGATGGCAAATAAAACAGACTATTTTTTGAAGTGCTACAAGATTTTTTGCTGTTCTGGTTGAAAAAGTTCTTGGTGATTTATAGGGAACCAAATTTCCAACATCTAGCTCTTCAGCCACATACCTAAGTCATTGGGCTATGACATAAACATCCATGGACCACAGAATAACCATGCATCATGGGTTATAGTTCACAAAAGGTGATGGCAAATAAAACAGACTATTTTTTGAAGTGCTACAAGATTTTTTGCTGTTCTGGTTGAAAAAGTTCTTGGTGATTTATGCCTAGGGTTACCCATAGTTCTTTACCAAGGCAGTCAACCTCGGAACAGCAGTATCCTTATAAAGCTACTTACCTCCTCCACAGAGCAAGGCAGCACTACTCGGCTGGTTTTTAGGAGAAGCGCAAGACAGAAAAAGAGAGAGAAGAGAAAAACAAAATTTAGACAGAGGTTCCCCCAAGGATCAAACTTTTCTATGCACACCACAGCATGTGCTAGTTTGCGCACAGAAACACAACATTCATGCCAAAATGTATGTCATTGACATCGCAACCACTGGTATAATCTATCAAGCACTACTCTGCTATCTGAACTAAGGACAATCCCTTTCTACACTTTTATGTTTACCAGATCAAGCTGATACCGGATTCAGATTAGATTTATTGTAGATTCAGCAAGACAAATACCCGCAAGGGATAATTTCTCAGATTTTTGTTGCTTAAAATGATCTCTTCCCATGACAGTAAAGTTTCACAATACTTACTAAGGCACAGACCCTCCCTAAAAAGGCTGCTTCAGAGTCCTCACCACCTTGTCTTCTAATGAAGCCTTCCTATTGCCTTTATCTGTCTTAAAAACACACCAATATCTGAATGAAATGCATTAAATGGATAAATCATGCCCTACACCCCCCACCCAGCTAGATGTACTGAAAAAAAATCAGCCTTCAAATTGACTGTGATTATTTATAAAGGAAGTTAACCTTTTATGGGGAGAGAGAAGAGTTGCCGGAAACCACAAATCAAGCTGGTATATAGCTACTTCTCTGCTCCACTGTGGCAAGAGTTGCTCTTAGGAAAATCTGAATTGGAAAGTTTTTTTGAAAGCACAGGAGAACCTTTTTGTTCAGGCAAGTATTGCAAATGACTTAGCATAAGCAGGTGAGCAGACATATGTGGGCCAGAAACCTGTGCAGATTTCTTTGCAAAGTTGACACTAGTATATCATCATATCTACCACTACGGCATCTGTACCAACACACCACATGCATTACGGTTTGATATTACCAAACATGGCTTTACCAACTGGTCAATGAAGAAGTATTTGGATTTTTAAAAAATACTGTACAATAAACCAATCTGAAGCTAAGAAGTGGAGTAGTATGTAAAAAGAAATTCATGTCAGTTTCCATATCTGCTGTATCTTCCAGAATTTCATGTTGATTTGTCAAGGAAAACACATCACAGATTTGATCCGGATGGCAAGAATGTGGCATTTTTAACAGATAAATGGCTTGTTAGAAATAGAATTGGGAAATCTGTGATCATCTCTACATGTTGCTCGATTCCAGTCTCCTTCAGCCCAAGTTAATGTCGACCATTGATGGTTTGTGCCTGGGCCAGAACGGGCGGCTCCTGTGAAACTTTGGGGGGAGGCTTTCCCCCACCCTCGTCCATAAGATGCCCGCAGCATGGACAATATTTGATGATAACAGGGATGTTGACGATTCCTCTATTTACATACTTCATGTCTACTCAAAAGTAAATCCCACTAAACTAACAGGGTGTTGCTCCCAGAGAGTGCAGGCTTAATGAATAACTTGTGGCTAATTTATCAGGGCCAAATGAAAAAGGAAGCTGGGCTGTCACTGAAACCCACACACCCGTCCCAGATGCTTTATTCTCAGATGCTTTTATTCTCGCTCTTCCGATTCTCTCCCACCACATGTCCAGGCCTGCTTCCTGAGGATAAATCTGTTGCAAACTTTCCCCAAAGCAGTGCCGGGGTATAATTAATATTCTTGCACCACAAATACCCCTGTTTACTCAGAAATAAGCTCCACCAAGTTGAACAGGCCTGTAACCATAGCAAGGGCTTTAAGTAAAAGAAAGATGAAAGACTTGGGATTTGAAAGTGAAACCTCTTATTATTCATTCAGAGAATGAAATAAAAAATGTTTGCTGGTCTTTGATACACGAACACCACCTTTCCAAAGCACCCACCCCTACCCCCTCCCATCAGAACAGAGGTGAACAATAACAAGCAAGGCACTTCCAAAAGAGACCAGCTTGCCTTGTGTTGGAAAAAGCGTGTAGGACCCGAGATCCCAGCTGAATGTCAGGAGTGGGCGTGAGAAAAAGCTTCAGGCGGGATACACTCGATGGGCCATGCACACGACCCTACACCCCAATTGTGCCCTTTAGATAAGCAACAGAAAAGTGCTGCCCTTAGTGACAGAGAAACTACCTCCACTCCAAGCGAAAAATGACAGAAGCCATCTATGTACAGCGCCCAGCACTCACCGTTAGGTACTAAAGAAAACTGCAAGGGGGAGAGCAATGGCTGGAAGCTGCCCATATGTGGTGGACTCTGCCAGCCACCCCTTCCTCGGAGAGCCCCCTCCCCACGCCCCCATCTTTGAATTAAGCTTCCCAACGCCCTGCAATCTCTCATTCACAAGCCCCTCTCGTACTCACAATTCTTTGATCAGCACCATCCTCCCGTCCCTCCAGTGCCCCGCACGCCAGAAGCCCCGAACCCCTCTCTTCCTCGTCTTCCCCCCAAAACCGCGGCCATTGACGCCACTTCCGCCCTCACTCTAGCCTCCGCTCGGCCGGACCTGTCCCCGGCGATACCACTTCCGCCCTCAACTCAGGCTCTGTCGGGCGGAGCGATGAATGGTCTGTCACCGGTGGGGGTGGAGCACAACCCGACGACTAGCTTTTGATTGACAGCCTTGTAAAGTCCTGGAAACGATTCCCCAGATTGAACACAAAGGATTGCGGCGGAAGCAAGGGCGCCGCTAGGGGGCGCTTTGGGAAAGCTGGCTTTCTGCAGCGGCCAGGCGAGAGATTTCGAAGGTGCCTGAAGAGTGTAGGGGATCCTTATTAGATCTCATAGAATCATAGAAAAGTGAAGTTGGAAGGGGCTGACAAGGTCATCAAGTCCAACCCCCTGCTCAATGCAGCAATACAATCAAAGCATATCTGCCAGGTGGTTATCCAAGTTTTGCTTGAATGCCTCCAGGGTTGGAGCACTCATCAACTCTGGAGATAATGGGTTCCACTGTCGTACTGCTCTAACGGGAAGTTTTTCTTGATATTCAACCACAATCTGGCTTCCTTTAGCATGAGCCCGTTGTTGTGTGTCCTGCATTCCGGGACAATCCAGAACAGATCCTGTCCCTCTTCTGTATGACAGCCTTTCAAATGTTTGAAAAGTGCTATCATATCACCCTTCAGTCTTCTTTTCTCAAAGCTAAATGTGCCCAATTCTTTCAGTCTTTCCTCAAAAGGCTTGGTTTCGAGCCCCCTGATCATCCTTGTCGCCCTCCTCTGAACTTGTTCCAATTTGTCGGCATCCTTCTTGAAGTGTGGTGTTCAGAACTGGACACAATACTCAAGGTGAGGCCTAACCAGTGCTGAATAGAGAGGGACTAGCACCTTGTAGGATTTGGAAACTATACTTCCATTAATGCAGCCTAAAATAGCATTAGCCTTTTTTGTAGCCACATCACACTGTTGGCTCATATTTCGCTTGTGATCTACAACAATTCCAAGATCCTTCTTGCTGGTAGTTTTTTCTGAGCCAGGTATCCCCAATCTTATAACTGTGCATTTGGTTTCTTTTTCTGAGGTGCAGTACTTTGCACTTACCCCTGTTGAATTGCATTCTGTTGCATTCGGCCCAGTGCGCCATCTTATTGCCCAAGAAACTATTAAAACCACAGGCAACTATGTTGATCCCTAATATTGTCATACCAGTTTTCATCTGAACCTGTTTATTTGCTTGTTTATAAAGCCAGTAGGTCTAAATTGCCTATTAAAGGTCAGGGATCTACCTAGAGTGGAGCAACTGAAGCCTTGCCTCAGAGCACAGAAATTGGTGAATCTATTGATAAATATTAGGAAACTGAACAGCAACATTTCCTGGGCCCATTCACTTTCTTTTTTAAAAAATGAATGTTTTTTTGTTTTCAGATCACCACACGTTTCTGGCCCTTTTTCTTAAGTGAGGGGTACTTAGGTCCATGCATCAGGGAGACAGCGGATGCAATGAGAAAGCAAGAAAGGCGCATGTCTGATCACATCAGAGAGTGCCAGGAGCGATCTCTTTTATAGTGATGGGATGGTTAAGAACTGAATCAGGAACTAGAAAAACTGATGAGGTGGGCTGGTTTGTGGTTTGGTTTGTGACCCGGTTTGGAGATCCCATTTTGCTGAAGAAAAGCAAAGTGCTGAACCTTCTTCCAATTATTGCTTCATTTTGCTTTGGCAAAATGAGATGCCCTTCCTGCTGCCTGGTCTTGCCACCTCCACCTCCTGCTGCTACCAAGGGCTGCCGGTGCCATCTCAGAGGGAATGCCAGGCTCTGTGAAGGAAAGCTGAAGTGTCTGCCTCTGTGCATGCACAAAATAGTGGCCATGTTTTCTGGAGCTGGCATGTGCAGAGGCACAGCGGGCTCCTGGCAGGTGTAGTCTGGCAACTCCTAGAAGGCCACATGTTCTCCATCACTGGTCTGGTATCTTAGTACAAACACTCTTCAAGTTTGTCTTTTAGGCCTTTGATCCATTGTACGAAACCAGGAGTATATTGGCATTGCTTTTGTCCTGCTGCCTTCCTGCCACCCCTATAACTGCCCACCCTGTCCCGCTGCCTGGTTTTGCCACCTCCACCTCCTGCTGCCACCAAGAGCTGCCGGTGCCGTCTCAGAGGGAGTGCCAGGCTCCGTGAAGGAAAGCTGAAGCATCTGCCTCTGTGCATGCACAAAATAGTGGTCATGTTTTCTGGACCTGGCATGTGCAGAGGCAGAGCGGGCTCCTGGCAGGTGTAGTCTGGCAACACCTAGAAGGCCACATGTTCTCCATCACTGGTCTGGTATCTTAGTACAAACACTCTTCAAGTTCGTCTTTTAGGCCTTTGATCCACTGAACGAAACCAGGAGCATATTGGCATTGCTTTTGCAAAGCCAAAAGGTACACAGCTCATCATATCATTAGAACAGGAATCATGTTAATGTTCAAGAAAGGGTGACTGAGGCTGTCTTTAGTGACTGAGAGATCAAACATCCTGGAGGAAGAACATGCTTATGGCTGAAAAACCAACCCCAAAGCAACCAAATCTGCAAATTACACTCCTGTTGTGACAATCAATACATGAGGACTTCACAGCCCTGGCAACTAGGAGATTCTGGAAGTTGTTGCCCCAGTAAGTTAATTTCGTAACCTTTTATAGGATCCACCACACACCCTTCTTCTGTGTTACTTCATAATATCCATGATAACAATATTGTCTCACGTTTCTCTTCCTGTTTCTCCACTTTGGGATTAACGTTTTCCACCTTCACTTTGCGGCCAAGAACTGTCTGTGCTTGGCTAGAACCGTCCTCAGTGCTGCATTTCCTCTTCCAGCAGGATAATCTGCTTCTGTGGTGGCTGCTTCAGCATTAGTATCTTGTTTTCTTCTTTTGACAGCTTTGTTTGTGCCGTAAGAGTTTGAGTTTTTTGCTGAGCAGTTCTGGGAGTTTTTTCCCCCACCCATGTCCCGCAAAGAGATTGGAGAACAGAAAGACATTTTCTCCAAAGTACTCTTTGAGCAGCAGCTTTTCATGTTGAGTGGAGCTAAAAAAAAAACCTGAGTTGTTCTTGAATTATGTGTGAAGCCAGGACACCATTTTTAGAGGTACTCCATTGGGGTAATGTGAGAAATTTAAAGGGCAGTGTGTGACCCAGCGGCATAGCACCACTCACGCCATTACCTAGTGTCACCACTAAGGTCAGCCCTCACGGACCACTGATGTAAGTGAAGTCCATTACTCAAGGCCAGAACTTGGAAAAGTTACATTTTGAAGCTGCAGCTCTCAGAATCTTCCCGTCTGCCTGGGCACCACATAGTAACTTTTTCAAGCACTGCTCATGATCCACTTACACAAGGAAACAGCCCTGAAAATGAACTCTATATACAGTGGTGCCTCAACTTACAAAATTAATCCATATTGGACTGGTGGCCATAACTCAAAAATTTCATAAGTCGAAGCACCACTTCCCATAGAAATGCAGTGAAAAACATTTAATCTGTACCGGCCAAAGGGAAAAAAATTCCGGGCTTCCAAAGCTGCACCCGCTGCCCTCTGCCTCCCGCCTCCGGTGCCCTCTGCCTCCCGTCCCCACAGGGACAGGAAGCAGAGGGCAGCGGGTGCAGATTTGGAAGCCCAGGAAGCCGAAAGCCACCCCGCCACCTGTGCCCACTGCCGGCTTTTGGCTTCCCGGGCATCCAAACCCCTTCTGCTGTCCTCTGTCTCCCATCCCCGTTGCCCTCTGCCTCCTGTCCCCGTGGGGGGCACCATACTCCAAGGCACTTATTATTGTTTCTGTTATTATTTCATGTTTTCTTAGTGGAGTGAGCCAAGGTGAGACCTGAATGCTGGCAAACTATAATACAGTCTATATTTCCTTTGCAGTGCTCTTTCAGTTCCTCGAGAGGAAGGGAAGATTTTTAGTCATTTGGCAAAAAAACATGATGAGTTCTAGACTTCCTGTGAGGAGACTTTAGATATTTTCAAGCTGCTGGTATGTGGAAAGCGTCTTAAGAGAGAGCCTGGATAAAATGTCAAGCTGCAAACAAAAAGTAAACATGGGCGTGTCCAGTGAGATAATTTTTTTTTCTCTGACTGTGCTTTTATATATGTAAAACTTCACTCTGGTTGGCAAATAAACTGTGTGCTGGAGAAAGGACCGAATCAATGCTGATTCCTGGTGTTGAAATTTTCTCAGTGAGGCAATCATTATGTTACATAAGGGCAAGTTAGGTGAAATAAAAAGGGTGAAATAACTGGTGCTTGGTAACATAAAGCCCTGCATTTTACGTTCAGAAAAGAAACCCAGAAGATAATCCAGGAGAAAAAAAACTTAAAGGAATAACTCCAGGAAGCTTCTGTTTTCTATGAGAAGGATCACACGAAGACTTTCACAGTAAGGCTTGAGGAGGCACTATGGCTGATGATGTGGACTACACCAGAGCTCTAAATGAACATCCTGAGGTCTTCTATCGGTACCCACTGAAGCTAGTCCATGGCGTCCCTCTGATGGCTCCCATTGCTCAACAGTGGGCTCCCATTGAAAATTTCCAAGCACGACCGGATGACCTGCTCATTGCAACTTATCCCAAAGCAGGTGAGATGCAAGCAACTCTGGGTAGAGACCTCTGGGTAGATTGGGCGGCATATAAATTAAATAAATAAATAAAATAAATAAACTACAGTACGTACAGGGAAAAGCGCTGCAGGAGAAAATGGGGTGTGTGTATGTGGAGGGGGGGTGAGGAACAGCAGGTAGCACCAATTTGACACATGCACATTAAAAAAAGAAAGCAGCTTTCAAAGGGCTCCCTCTTTTATTTAGGGTTGCACGAAACGTACCCTCTTAACTTGCTCCACCTCTCATGCACATGCAGCCCACCCCCAACGCAGGATTCTGACGCAACTGGAACCTAATGTGATTGCTGCGCAGAGGAGGAAGACAGCTGCGCGGAGGGAGGCAGAGGGACATGCACGCTCAGCTTACAGGGAACCTTGGTTGCAAGATACCACTGCATGGTGCAGATCTATATGCATGAAATGCATCTAACCTTCCTGTAATTGCATTTTAAATTGTATATTTTGGCAGAGGAAGGCACCAAATAGCACTAATGACTGAAAGAAATGTGTAAGTTGATAAGGGGTTCAGATAATCATTTGATATTAATCTTTTGCATTGTGTATCTCTGCGATGGTGGTTACAGTTGAAACATGAAAGTGTGCTGTGCTCCTGTTTCATTCCTTCTTCACAGAATGGATTGGTTGAAGAATTTAGTGACTTATCAATATAATGTAGGTATAAATGTTATCTGGGCATGAGAGGAACATAGCCAGCAAGCATTTAGCCATAGTGAGAAAGAGTTACAGACAACATGCTAAAAATACACTATAGTTGTCTTCTTTTTTTGGTGATGGGAATGATAATGGTATCCTTCATCATTAATGCTCAATAAAGTTTAGTCAGAGACTTCTGTAATAGTCACAGCACAACAGTGTCATGGAGCAAAAAGAGTTGAGTGGAGCGTTGAAGCATCAGAATATTTTGATTCAACAGTCACGTCTGCCCATCGAGGCTTCTCTCTTTACTGTCAATATAGTCACAATCCTCACAGAAGCTGGTGGATGGGTGGGAATGCTTGTTTTAATTGTATTTTATTTTGTAACTTGTGATTATAAGTATTAGCACTTTATGATTTTTTACCACTCTTTTCTCTCTCTCTCAATTTCTTCCTCTGGATGCTTCAGGAACCACATGGATGCAAGAGGTCGTGGATCTGATCCTTAATGGTGGCGATGTGGAAAAAGCCCGACGGGCCCCCACATATGTCCGGATCCCATTCCTCGAGATCTGCTCTCCACCCCCTCTGCCTTCAGGTGAGCCTGGAGGCCCAAGGCACTGCGAAGCCTAGCCCTGTCTTTAACCTAGACCATGAAAAAGTAACTGTCTGGGGCTACAGCATTCCAGAATCCCGAAGCCAACATGACCAGATTTTTCCATAATCTGCTTTAAACTCAGCAGTACGTGATTAACTCTTCTATGGTTCTTTTTCAGGGGTTAGTCAGCTGCAGAATGCTCCATCTCCTCGTGTGATCAAAACCCACCTCCCCTTCCATCTCGTCCCTAAGAGCTTTTGGGAAAAGAAATGCAAGGTAAATTATTCTTACCCCACCTGCTCCTTTCCCACGCCATCTGCACCTGCAATTCTGATCCACACCCCCATGTATTAACTTTCTCACTTTTGGACCTTTTCAGGTGATCTACGTGGGTCGTAACGCCAAGGACAACCTGGTCTCTTATTTCTTTTTTGACCAGATGAACTTGACTCAGCCAGATCCGGGCCCATGGGAAGAATATATTAAGAAATTCATGGAAGGCCAAGGTCAGCTTTAAAATTCATGGAGGGGAAAAGTCATCCACAAACATCTTGGGTTAGCATCCCCTTAGCAACCGAAGGCAAGAGAAACCTCAGAAAATGGCATTTTGCACTACATCTCCCTGAATCCATAGCCAGCAGGATTCTGGGAGTTATAGTCCTAAAAGGTGAATTTCCCAGAGTCTAATACAGAAGATGGCTGTATTGTCTCTCCTTGTGAGATTGGTTCTAATGAATTGGAACAAGTGTTGAAACACAAACTGTAAAATGGGGGAAATGTTTGATTTGATTATTTCTAAAAAGCGCTCATATAACTAGAACTTACCTATGTGGATCATAGGGGATTTATTTGTGCATAAAGATGTACAGGTTTGCACTGTGAACTTGTTTTGACTCATCAGTCTGTTTAATTGGATTTCATCTACTGTATTCTCATTTTATTTTATTTCATTCATCAGTTGCCTGGGGTTCATGGTACGACCATGTCCGGCATTACTGGGATGAGAAGCAAAACCACCGTATCCTGTATGTCTTTTACGAAGACATGAAAGAGGTGAGTTGCAGGTGATGTGGGAGAGTATATTTACTTTTCATTTTGGGGGGGGGGGAATTATTGCAGTGGTTTTTCATCAAAAGGTTTGTCATAATCTCTTTCTGTTAAATTCAAAATTGCTTTAACTTCAGAAGGGCTTAATTTAATAGAAAAATTCATCCTTGAGGTCTTAGTCTCTCTCTCTCTGTGTGTTTCAATTTTGTTGAAAGGTGCTATACAAATCTAATAAATAAAAGGAATATAGTATTAACCTGAGGTAAGATGGAGGGAGTTTATTACTACAGTGCTATATTACCTTTATTGTTACCAGTTTGCTTCTGAGCTCAAGTGAATTCTACTGGTTTTTAACTGTTTAAAATGTTTTGAAGTTCGGGATGATTGGTTTTAGCTCAATAGTTTAGATCCACGTTACCTTCAGGGTTCTTGAACTATATAAACACATAGCAGAAGCATGTGGTTGGGGAGGAGAGGAGCTTGTCTGTCTGTCTGTCTAAACACACACACACAATACCCCAGTGTAGTGTAGTGGATAGTGTAATGGACTAGGATTGAAGTGACCTGGATTCAAATTGTTGCTCTACCATGAAACTCATCAGGTGGTGGTGGTAGTCTAATTAATAAAACCACTCCCACTTTACTTTGAAAGCCTTGTTAAGACCACTTAGAAGCTGGTTCTGACGTACGTCATATAATGTATACCCTGGATGGCTAACAGCAATGAAAACAGCTACTCACCAACCACCATAAGTACACGGACACTAAAATCCCACCCAAAAAAAGAAGGGGAAAAAGACACTTGAGAGGCAATGGCAAACCAAATCTATCATCAAACTCCTGTATCCAGGTAAGTGTCAAAGGGAGAGAATATTCCTAAATGCCTTTCCCAAAAGCACTGATTTAACATGTTTTCTGAGGTCAGAAGGGAGGGAGGCTGATGTATATTGATAGGCAACACATTCCATAGTGTTAAGAAGGCCATGTTCCTGGTGGTAGTTTTTTGGGCTTCTCTTGGGTAACCACCTGCAGCCGCAAAGCCTGGCTAGAATGGGTAGCCCAGGTAGACGATCTTAAGGAGAGATGCTCCAGGCTCCAAAGTTAGTACCAGCACTTTGAATCTGTCATGGAAGCAGAAAGGAAGCCAATGCAGGTGTGCCGGGATAGGGGAGATGTGATTGTAGCTCTGTGTTCCCAATACTAACCTGGCCGCCACATTTTGCACTTGTTGAAGCTTCTGTGTTGCCTTCAAAGGCAGCCCTACATAGAGAGCATTACAGTAGTTGATCCTAGAGATTACCAGCATGTGGACCAGTATCATTGGGGATTTCCCGTCCAGAAAGGGCTGCAATTGTGCAATCTGCCAAAGATGGAAAAAGGCAGATCTGGTCACAACAGAGATTTGCTTCTCCATAGAGAAAGTTGGATCCAGGAGCATACCTAAGTCATGGATCTGGCCTTTTAAGAGGAATGTGACCCCCATCTAGAGCAGGCAAAATGCTTCCTAAGTGGCCAGACATTCCACCCAACAACATCTCCATCTTGTCAGGATTCAATTTCAATTTGTTAGCCCTCAGCCAGTCCATCACCATCACTGATCCAGGATCTGCACAGCTTCCACTGCTGAAGTTGAAAAGGAGAGATGAAGCTGTGTGTCATCAGCATATTGATAACAGGCAACTCCAAATCTCCAGGTGACCTCCCCCAATAGTCTTATATAGATGTTAAAGAGCATTGGGGAGATGATCTGTGTTTTTGAGACTTCACAATGAAGAACCCGCTGAAACGAGTTCTGTTATCCTGAGGTACAGCAAGCCAATATTCAAGATAAGGTGTTTTGGGTTGTAGTGCTATCACTATAGCTGTGAGGTACCTTCTGAGGGAAGGCAGACAGGCCCCGATAGTGCATTATTTGAAGGATGATCTCCTTGGCTGATAATTATCTATCTGTGTTTCAGGTAGATGCTTTTGAAAACTCTTTCCTTTTTGTTCATTCATGTATCATTTTTGAAACAGACTGTTAGCTGCTGTGTGAAAGTTTTTTCTAAGATGAGGGTAAACATATTGTGCTAAATGAAATAGAAATATGATTGAGAATGAGGAATTTAAACCCCCTTTCAACAGTTGTTTCTTTCATCCTTCGTCTACATTATAATTGTACGAGTAACATATAAAACACTTTGAGGTTGTTTAGATGGAGCATTTGTTCTCTTTAATGTCCCTGACATTGTGCTGAGGTTATTGATATTTTTTCTTATCATTCATTATGACATTCCCTTTTCTTGGTTGTTATAGCAACAGTTTCCATAACTTTCCACACTTTTTGTCCCCTCTGAAGGCATGATTTATTTTCAGTCATGTTTCATGCTAGGGACTGGAGTTCATTGTCTGTCTCTCTGAATGAATGAATGAATGAATGAATGATACAAAACCATGGCATCTTAAAGACTGTTATAGTTTTGGATGTACATATTTATGTTCTGCACTGTCCAGACTTCAGTTGGGTTGGCTGAGGATAATAACCTTCCCAGGCATGTTGGGAAAGTCTTAGGATGCAATTGGATAGCTATGTAGATCACTTTTTGGAGCGCTGACAGCACAGTCTAGTTCCCTGGATTTGCTGGGATCCTCAAATATGTAAATACTGTAAAAGAAAGTCCTACCATCTTAAATAATCAGCATTGTGAGATGAGGTGAAAATGTAGGTGATTCTATTGAGGAATAAAAGAGAAAGTAAATTGTGAGAAGACAGAGGTTTATACAGTACTTTTTTTCCAGAGTTGTCTCCATCTTTTATATGTGTGCACCACTCTGAAGTAAAAGCATTGTTTTATATGTCTTTTGCATGCCCTCACTAACTGCTTACCCAAGAAATGGAATGGTTTGATAAAGCAGGTCAGGGAACAGTATAAGCAAGACCTTGGGTTATCTGGGCAAGAGAGGAATGTATCTAGTGCTTTTTAACACTTCCTGGAGCTTTATCTAGTGTTTCCCTCACTATGCAGGTACATAGTCTATGTTTTTGTATTGCGCAAAAAGAAACTTAATGTATAATGAATGTGTATTTAAGATACTGCTACGGAGATGAGGAAAACACATTGTGGATTTCAACCGTCCCTATTTCAACCGTCCCCTTATCTGTGGGATCTTCCCCCATGACACCAGTTTCTATTTTGGTGTCTCCATAAAACCATAAGAACAAAGTGTTGAATGGGGTCTTAGAGGTGATCTAGTCCAACCCCAAGTTCAGTGCAGGATTCTGTAATGCAGAATGAGGCTGCAGCATCCCTGACAGGCTGGTCCCTCCACCAAAGGAATACTTGCCACCTCCTCAGGCATTGTGTTCCACTGTCAAATGTCTCTTCTTGCCAGGAAGCTTCTCAAGTTTACCCAATCTAGGAAGATTTCACTATATTGCAGAGGATCAAGTCTGCACAGAATGCACATCAAAGCAGACAACTAGCAGTAGAGGGCAAAATGAGCCATCCAAGAATATAGGGTCCTCTGGTGGAACATTTGTACTGGATGAACATGGACTTTTCCTGGTGTTTGGTTTTTTTTTGGGGGGGGGGAAGGATTTATATCCATAGGCTGTATTTTTACCCCCATGCCGGAACTATGAAGGTTTCCTGACAAATCAGGGTAGAGGCGTGAAATCAAATATCCAGAGCCAATGTCGGAGTCTCTTCCTCTTCCTCTGATCCCCTCTTCTGATCTCTCCCCACTTTTTAAATTTGGTTGGGGAAGCAGGAAAGCACTACCTCTCCCCTGGCAGGCTGGATACTATTAGGATTCTTTTTTCTTTCTGTGACCCAGCAGGGACCCAAAGTGCCTGCAGCTGTCTTTTGTTTGGAAGGGACTCTTTCTAGTGCCTATTGTTTCTAGCTGTGCTGTGGTTGCTGCAGAGGGAAGCCCCATAGTTAACCTTTGATCCCAGAACAACAACAAAACAACAACAGTAAAAGCCAGAGCTTTGAGGAGGTCTAAGAAGGCCAGAGAACCACAAAAAAGAAGCAGTGTTAAGTGAGATAAGAGGGACATTGTCTGGATGTTGGGGCAATTTCCATTGTGATCTGTGCCTGAAGTGGAATTTAAAAGGGTACAAATGCTTTAGGTGGAAGAATCTAAAATATGCCTGGCTGGTTGGTGTAGTAAATGGAAGATTTATAGTGCAATAGTTCATCCCTGGTCTACTTATCTTATCTGATTGGCACATGAGTATAAACTCATGCATGTGATCACAAAGGCATACTTCAGTTGAACCTGTTACTTTGGACTGCAGCTCTTGAGATATGTTATCAACTATTCACCTACTGTAGAGCAGTATTCCTTATATTCCTATAGCAACAAACACCACTGCCTATATCCTTCAGAGCACCACAGGATAGGATACTATAGGTTGACTTGAGTACACTGGACAGCAGTGTTGAGCATGGGGTATGATGGCTCATCAGAAGATGATTATTAGTGTTATAAGCAAAAACCTGCTTCAGTCTGAAATTCTGGAGGCTCTGCAGCTCAGAATGTTTGGGGTTTTACAAACTGTAGGTTTGATGCAAGTTAAATAATCTCTGAACAATTTCACCCAAACAGAATGGCCCATACTACTGAAGGAAACACTTGTTATGTGCCTGAAGTCTTGATAAACTTAAAAAGCAAAGCAAAAGACCACTAAAGTAATTGGTCGTTTACCTATGGTGGCAAAAACTGTCACTAGATGACTAGGCACTAAACTTCCGGTAAAGAGGAAAATATTTTCCCTCTTCATGCTATCAGTATATCTAAGTGTCTCATCATTGCTTTGAGTAATTTACTGCACTTTATCCTTTTAGACAAAGGTCAGGGCTGATGGCACTTTCATTTCAACATCTGGAGAGCCATCCTTTTTACTCTTTCTCCTTCAGAAGGCATTGGTCTGCGATTTCCATTACCCACCACTCATTTTCGTGCCAGGGCTGATGGCACTTTCATTTCAACGTCTGGAGAGCCATCCTTTTTACTCTTTCTCTCAATACATAATGCTGCACATAATGCTAATACCTACAGCCCATTTGCTCCTTCCTCTAGCACAATGGTTTCCCATGTTGGCAACATCTAGGGTGGAGGGGATCTCTGGAAGTTCAAGAGACACACACCCATCCCCAGACCTTTGAGGACCATACCCTTCATCTAGAACAGGGGTGTCCAACCTTTCACCTTCCCTGGGCCACATTAGAAGATGAAAATTTGGTTTGGGCCGCACCTACATTTGGTTTGGGCCGCATGGGGGGGGCAGCCCTAGCCGTCCTCAGACCTTTGAATACCCTTCATCTAGAAGATGTCCTTATTCCAGAAGAGTCTGTGTTCAAAAGTGTGAATAAAGCTATTCACCCAAACATACATGTAATGAGAGAGATGCCTCCATATGTAATAAAGATACGAAAGACATGGGCTGTGCTTCCAACATTCACAGCATTTTGAAGGGTATTTTGGATTTGTCTTGTCATAGTAATTCCCTTCCCCTGTGGAATCCTAGAAATTGTAGTTTTAGTCTCGCACAGAGAAGGCAGAGTTTAACATAAGCCAGGGCTCAACCACAGTTGTTTCAGAATCTATTGAAAAAGGCAGGATTGCCTCAGAGCACGGTTTCCACTATGAAAATGAATTGGGAGAGAGATCAGGATTTTTAAAAATTGGTTTAAAGTTGCATAGTAGTTGTGGGTTTTGGGGTGGTGTGTGTATCCCCTCAGGAAAACTTTTAATCCATTTTTAAACAGTGTTGTATATTGGTCAAGGAAGCTTTTAGAATAATTGCATGTGAGGCCTTGTCATTTGCCTGCCTACCCTCACACTAGCAGCTTCTCACAGTCAATAGCCGCAGTTGCTGTGCTGGTATTTTAAAAATATTTTTAATTTTTTTTTATTTCTGGTATAGTACTAGTTCAGTATGAAAGACCGGGGGGGGGGGGAAGGTTTCCTTGAAGCCATGGAACTGGTAGCCAGGGCTGGCAAAATGGAAGGCACACCGGTGAGGAGCAAACCCCACATAAGTGTTCAAATATGTATGCCAGAATGATTCAAAACAAATCAATTTCAAAAGTAATTTCAAAGAAAAGGCCCTCTACTGCTGAGTAAAATGTTGCTTTCAAATAAAAACAAAAAAAATGGGTTTCCCAGGGGAAAAAATCTGTACTTCTCTGTGCATTGTATAGTCATAATTTTAAAAATCTTTTTCAAACACACTAAAACCGATTTAAAAAGAGTTTCTTTTCCACATGTAATTGAGCTCTGGCTCTATGGAATAATAGAAACAGAGATATGATGGTCTATGCAAGATGGGGGTGGTGGAACCCTTGACATGTCTGTTTCCCTTCCATTTTCTTCTTTTCCTTTATATTCATGGAATTTCTGATCATATGCGGACTGCTGATCCCTCAGGAATGGTTGCACTGCCCTGCGTTACATCTTACTAGCTCCAGTTTAGGTGGGATGAAGTGTAAAAATATATATTCAAAACAGAAATGTTTAAGATATGAAGAGAGTTTTTACAAACTTGGCATCATTTCCAGGAAGACAGAAGAGATTGAAAGGCCCACCAAGTTTCATTTTCTCAACTACAACCATCCACTGATAGCTTTCAACATTCTCTTGGGATCCTCTTCAACACAATGATGATTGTACTAGGTCAGCCCCCATAACTCCAATCTCTTCTCACTCCCGTCAGCATCCATTTGTATTTCTTCACTAGGACTTGACCCGAGAGATACATCGCTTGATGGATTTCCTGGAGGTTGACCTGCCTGAAGATGTTGTGCAGAAGATTGTCTGTAATACATCATTCCAGGTCATGAAGGAGAATCCAATGACAAACTACAAGCTTATCCCTAGCACTATCTTTGACCAGTCAAAAAGTTCTTTTATGAGGAAAGGTAAGTGATGTTTGTTACAGTAACGGTGATGTCATCTGCCCGTCGTTGCTATGGTTGTGTGTCATCTGCCAATGGCGTGACAGGAGGAGGGACATAAGAGGGTGGAGCTAGGGGATTTAAGGGGGAGTGAATGAGGTGTGAGTCAGATAGGGACAGATAGGGTCTGGTTAGGGATTTAGGGAGTTAGGGCTTGTACATGTTGTGTAGTACTGTGCTATATATATATTGAGTGAAGGTCTGAGAGAGTGTGGCGGGGGGTACTTTATTATTACTGATTGCCTTTTATTTTAGTTGATAAAGTGATTTACCATTCCTTTTGATGTCATCAATAAACATAAGTTTTTATTTAAAAAATCATACTTTTGTCTGAAGAGTCTTATGAGGGAATGGTTGGTGGCAGCGTGAAATAAAGTGAGTGTGAGTGTGATGTGGCAGCTCCTTTGTGACGTGTGAGGAGGCTGTCACAATGTTCCTGCTCTCAGAGTTAATAAAATGTGGGCTCTAGGGGTAAGGGATCAAAAACAAAGAGGAAAGGAAGTATTTCTTTCTAGTCTTTTATTTATGGTGTTTTCAGATGCAGTGGCTGAAATTCAGTAGTAAGTCACAACTAGAATAGGCCTGTTGAATCAATGGGATTTACAGGGAAGTTCCCCACCGATTCAGTGGGCCTGCTCTAGTTGCAACTTACAACTGAAGTTCAGCCAGTATTTCTAGCATTACCAAGCACTGCTCTTCTTCCTAAGAGAGTGTGTGTATATACTAGAGGGTAATAATGGTTTGGGATGACTTTAACTGTCATGGTTCCATCCTATGGAATCTGGGACTTTTAGTTTGGTGAGAGACTTTACTAAATAGTGCTAGTGTACTTCACTAAACAACAGCAGAGAATTCTGTGGTAGGTAGGTAGGTATGCTTTCTTTCCCCCAGAACAAAGACCCAAAGTAGCTTACAGAACAGTTTGAAACAGTAGAAGATGAAATGGTTTTACCATTGCCATCCCACATGAGTTTCCATGACTGAGTGGAGATTTGAGCTCAGGTCTCTTGAGTCCTAGTCCAAAATTGTATTCACTACCTGACACTCAGGCAAGATGCAGGCATGATGTGTGAGGCCTAAACATACTTATATAATGGAACCATTAGTGACCATGCAGCATATTAAGAATGGGGCGACTTTGGCTTGCAGATATCTCTCATCAATTCTATCCAGCATAGCTAATGGTAAGGGACAGCGGGAGTTATAAACCAAGCTTTCTGGAAGTCCAAAAGTTGCTCATCCTTGGTACATATAGTGGAGTCATTCGAGGATTTTTGTTTTGCTCAGGGAAATAGGATAACCTTACCATTATAGTTAGATAAAGCTGTGTCAATTTCATTACTTTTTCATGGTGTAGGTAATCAGAAGTAAAAAAGGTAATTGCAACAATTACGAAGTCAGCGGAGGCATTCCCTGTTGCATCCTAACTGGATGACATGGTGTGCAATAGCAAATGATTGTGGCTGGCTTTTTAACGTGGTGTTATTCCGAGCTGAATTTTACAGTATCATTTTTCAGTTTGATTCCAGACAACAAAGCATGGGTGAGCCCAATGGGACCCTTTCCACGGTGTTGGTCTGCAGTTTTCAGCATTCACTACTGTTGACTGCACCAATAAAATCTGAAGGGCCACTCTTAGAAACAGAAGATTGTTCTCTGATAGCCCTTCAAATGGAGAACGATCTTCTGAAAAGTAGAAAATATGTCCACCCTGTGAAATTCACAGCTAGAGCATGTGGGTCTTCTGTAATATGAAAGCCTGCTGTTTCCCTTAACCCATTCCTGTTTTTTTCTTAGGTGAAGTTGGTGATTGGAAGAACTATTTCACAGTGGCTCAAAGGGAGGCGTTTGATGCAGATTACCAGAGAAAAATGGAAGGAACAAATCTACAGTTCCGAGATGAATTATAGGCCGAGAAATGTACCTTCTTTAAAGGAGCAAAAATCATGTCTTACTCTGTAGTTTTGTTATAATGCACTGTATGTGGGTATTATTTTAAAAATGTTCTGATGGAACAATGCCTTGAAAAGATATTATTCCATCAGAAGCATCATATCAAGCCAGAATGGCTTTTTAATCATTATTTCAAATGATTAAACACAGAGCAATTAAACATATGTTTTAATACTAAGTTGGTGCAATTTAAAGAAACATAACATTAAAAATTGTCTGTAACACTCAAAGGATAAATTTGTTTATTTACTTATTTGTTTTTTTAATTTTATTTTTATTTACACAAATCTCTGAATAAATCCCTGGAACAGGCTGCCTATATCTTCCAGCTTTTGCAGCGCTTGGAAAATGTATTTTTAGACCCCAGTCATTGCAAATGGCCATAGCGGCTGGGCATGATTGATCATATACTGTATAGTCCAATACCCTGAAGTAGACCCTTGGGGAAGGTTGTGTTAGAGCTAAAATCAAGGTTCTCTGAGAGCAACTGCTCTCATCTCAACGTCACTCAGTGCTTTCAGAGAAAAGTTCTGCTTGTAAATTAAAGTTCCTTGAATACTGAAGGTCAGCTGTTGGGGTGAGCTTTTTTGGCAGCCATTGTCCAATAAAGTAAACTTATCTAGGGAGGTTTAACCATCAACCTGTCCAGATACTGACTGACCTTAGCATGAGATACTGGCAGAAACCCCTGCAATGGGCACGTGGAAATCTCAGCCAAGCACAAGCTGTAAACTGCTCTTTCCAAATTCTCAGAGTCATTTGACCTAGTTCCTGCTTAGGGTATAAGAAACTCCAGCAATCTGGTGGGGGAGAGAAAAGCCACTGAGCAGAGCAAAGCATTGACACCAACTATACCAAGAAAGGCCATAATCTGCTTGGGGTAGGACTGAGTCCTCCTGTACTATTACCCTTTTCTGTTCCCTACTGGATCCTGAATTTGGAAATAATTAAGGCCTGTGTATGTAGAGTTGGCTGCATAGGCCTGTGAATTAGGTTCTAGGCTGCGGAGTCACGAGTATGGAGCGTCCACAACCGGTGGAGGTCTATGGCATCCTTCTGCACAGGGTCACTGCAGAAAGGTGGGGCCGCATATCGAAATTCAAAGCTCGGCCTGATGACCTTCTCATCTGCAGTTACCCCAAATCCGGTAAGTGGGAATAAATGAGGGCCTGGAGCAAAGTAGTGGGGAGGTAGCCATGGAGAGATGGAGAAGTGGTGAGGCTGAGGGACACCGGCTGAATTGTGAACAGTTCTGCGACTTGGGTTCTTCTTCCACCCCTTCCCACTAGGGACCACCTGGGTACAGGAGATAACAGAGATGATCCAGTATGGAGGAGACACTGAGAAATGTGGTCAGGCCCCCATATACAAGCGGATGCCGTTCCTAGAGATGCCTCATATGATCGTGTCCTGTGAGTGGGAAGGGGTGCTTCATTTGGGTGATGATGGGCGGAGGACTCAGAATTTGGAAAAAGTTTGCTTTTTAGAATAAAACTTCCAGAAGTTGTAGTAAAAAAAAAATAAACAAAGCAGCATTTCCAAGCCCTGGTTGAAGATGGGACAAAGGGTTTATCTCCACTCAAGGCTGAAATTTTCCCTCTGGTCTTGCAGCTGTGGAAGAAGCAGATGCGCTACCCTCTCCACGGAGGCTCAAAACTCATCTTTCAGTCCAGCTTGTGCCTGCTTCCTTCTGGGAGCAGAAATGCAAGGTCAGAACTTCTGGGAGTGGTGGTGAGAGAGGAGGATTAATGGGAGAAGGGAGAGCTTGCTTCCATTGTCTGACGCCACTCATTGTGGAAATATATAAGGTCACATGAAAGAGGAGACTGATTCTTTCTGATTAAAAGTTATCTGTAGGGGGTGATAAAAGGCATTCAGCCCTGCTACATCATTAAACTGACAAAAAAGGAGGAGGAGAAGGAGGGTGACTCTGGACATATACAGAGCGACATGTTTTTGTTGACTTGGAAATTGGCCTTGGAACTTTCTGCCTGTCCAGACTGACCATTTTGAGTGTGGGGTGGATTGGGCTTCAAAGGGTCTGTTGAGGTCTGGGGGAGGAACAATGTGCCATTTGATGTGCTCCTCCCATCAGAACAGCAAACAACCCCTTGTATCCCAATCAGTTTTAATTAAACACTTTATCTGATTGAGTGCCATTCCGATTTCTCCCTTCCCCTCTCCCTGTTTCTCTTCCCTTATTCTCCCCCCCCCCTTTCTCTCTCAAATTCTCCCTCGGAATCTGCAGCTGCCGAAGGCTGCTATCTCATAGCTAAATAAGCTGAACAGCCAAAAAGAATGCATGCCCTACTGCGAGGCAAGAACGGTATACAACAGCTCTTAAAGGGGAAGGGTGGGTAGTTCCAGAAACATTAGTAGACAAGGTCCTTGTTTTTCGATCTAAACTGTGCTGTCAGCAAGCCATATATTATACCTATATGCCAGCGTGGACAGGCTTTTGTTCAGTGATCAATAAAAGGAATACTGGGAGGTTGCTTCTGAATAGAGATGGGAGCTTTGTATTCATCTCGTCTGGGGGGGGGACACATACAAATATCACCACCATAGGTGTCTGGGCCGATTGGACCCTCCCCCCAGAATCAGGCCATCTACTGTACTTACTGCTTGTGGCATGGCGTGCATGGCCCATCGTTGTTTGCGCTGTGCCAATCGTGGAAGTAACCTGGCCAGGGTTTCGCTGTCTCCCTGCACTGCTGACCACTCAGCAACTGAGCAGGGAGACTTACCATCCCATCTCCTCACCAGATTGGTCAGCAGTACAGGGAGGTAGGGAGGCTCTGGCTGGGCTTCTTCTGTGATTGGAATGGCATGAACAATGGTTAAGGCAACGCAAACCATGCCGCGAGTGGTAGGTAGATGACCCAGTTTGGAGGGAAGGTTCCAACTGGCCCGGTCCCCTGTGGTGGCGATACACTATTTGCATTTGTCTCCCTTTGGCGACGAATATAAATATCTCTACTTCTGAAAATTAGCAGAATGCTTTTCTATTATGCAGAAGTCATTTCAATTTTTTAAAAAAGCCAATTAGGGCAGCACTGTGACACCCAATACCTTTTAGAAAAAAATTATTTTTAAAAGGACAGCTTTGGGAGGTGGATCAAATTAGGTTGCTTGAGGTGCATATTCCATGTGGATGTCATACAGAAGTTCTACTCAACCTTAGGTAAAGATAAATGTTCCCCTTGACAATTTGTCCAGTCGTGTCTGACGCTAGGCGGCGGTGCTCATCTCCGTTTCCAACCCATAGAGCTAGCGGGTTTTTTTGTCTGAAGACAACCTTCCATGGTCATGTGGCTAGCACAACTAGACACGGAACACCGTTACCTTCCCACCGTGGTGGTACCTATTTATCTACTTGCATTTTGCATGTATTTGAACCGCTAGGTTGGCGGGAGCTGGGACAAGCAAAGGGAGCTCACTCTGCCACGTGGATTCAATCTTATGACTGCAGGTCTTCTGACCTTGCAGCAAGGGGCTTCTGCAGTTTAACCCACAGCACCACCACGTCAGTCTTAAGCAACCCTGTTTAGCCCACATTAACCTGCTCCAAATGAGACATGTAGCTAACAAGAAGAGAGAGAGAGACTTGACAATGGTAGCTCCTCAGTGGTCTTCCAAGAGGGATTATTCTGGCTCTGATTATTTTTAGCTAAAAGTCAAAGTAAGTATGTATGTGTGTGCTGGAGAGGGGACAGAACACTTTTTATATACAGTATTTTTGTCCAACCAGCTATTATTCCCCTATGTTACTCTTGTTTTGAATTTGGGAAACATTCATTTCATAAAAATGGTGGAGTCTTTCTGGCCAAAACACCGTATTGTGTTTAAAGAGAAGTGGTGGAGTGGGTAGTGAAAGAACAGTGGGAGCAAGGAGATCTGGTCTCTCTCTCTCTCATTCTCTCTCTCTCTTGTTCTGTTTCTGCAGATTATTTACATAGCCAGGAATGTTAAAGACACTGCCATCTCCTATTTCCATTTCCACCACATGAACAAGACCCTTCCAGAACCAGGAACCTGGGACCAGTTTCTGGAGAATTTCCTTGCAGGAAAAGGTGAGTAAAGGCTAAAGAAAGAAGACATCTGAATGTCCGCAGGGTTCCAAATGTGGCAAAAAAAACCTGGAGCCTACAGGGTACCAAACGAATGGGTGTTCTCATTTAGAAAAATATTGCCAGTGGAGAGCAGGGACATTATTTTGTAAAGTTGCCAGTTTCGCTTTAAGCTGCAGGTCATGTACATGTGAGGCGATGAAGACGTTGTGGTTTACTTTCTGAACTCTTGTTCTTCCTTGCAGTTGTTTGGGGCTCTTGGTTTGACCATGTCCGTAGTTGGTGGGAGGCCAAGGAGTGTCACCCAATTCTCTACCTCTTTTATGAAGACATGAAAGAGGTGAGCACTTGACAAATACATCCTGCCATGGCAACACTTTTCAGTTATGAGGGAACTGTATCAAGAAGGATTCTAAATGATCACCCCATGGTTGTGACTGTGAGATCCTACAAACATTATTCATTCTTTCATTCATTTATTCATTTTATTTACTGCCCATCTAGCTGAGGGCCACTCTGGGTGCTTTAAAGCAGAATAAAATAACATTGAACTGGCAAGCCACTCCAGTATCTTTGCCAAGAAAACTCCATGGACAAAAACAAAAAGCTAAAAGATATGATGCTGGAAGATGAGCCCCTCAGGTCAGAAGGCGTCCAACATGCTAGTGAAGAAGAACGGAGGACAAGTACAAGTAGCTCCAGAGCTAATGAAGTGGTTGGGCCAAAGCCGAAAGGACGCTCAGCTGAGGACACGCCTGGAAGTGAAAGGAAAGTCTGATGCTGCAAAGAAAAATACTGCATAGAAACCTGGAATAGAAGATCTATGAACCTTAGTAAGGTGGATGTGGTCAAACAGGAGATGGCAAGAAGAAACAGTGACATCCTGGGCATCAGTGAACTAAAATGGATGGGAATGGGCGAATTCAATTCAGATGATTATCATATCTACTATTGTGGGCATGAATCCTGTATAAGAAATGGAGTAGCCCTCATAGTTAACAAAAGAGTGGGAAAAGCTGTACTGGGATACAATCTGAAAAATGATAGAATGATTTCAATACGAATCCAAGACAGATCTTTCAACATCACAGTAATCCAAGTTTATGCACCAACCACCCATGCTGAAGAAGCTGAAATTGACCAATTCTATGAAGACTTACAACGCCTTCTAGAACTGACACCAAAGAAAGATGTTCCTGGCATTATAGGGGATTGGAATGCTAAAGTAGGGAGTCAAGAGATAAAAGGAACAACAGGTAAGTTTGGCCTTGGAGTTCAAAACGAAGCAGGCCAAAGGCTAATAGAGTTTTGTCAAGAGAACAAGCTGGTCATCACAAACACTTTTTTCCAACAACACAAGAGGTGACTATACAAATGGACATCACCAGATGGGCAAAAGCAAAATCAGATTGATTATATTCTCTGCAGCCAAAGATGGAGAAGCTCTATACAGTCAGCAAAAACAAGACCTGGAGCGGATTGTGGCTCCGATCATCAGCTTCTCATAGCAAAACTCAAGCTTAAACTGAAGAAAGTAGGAAAAACCACTAGGCTAGTCAGGTATAATGGAAATCAAATACCTTATGAATACAGAGTGGAAGTGAAGAACAGATTTAAGGAACTCGATTTGGTGGACAGAGTGCCTGAAGAACTATGGATGGAGGCTCGTAACATTGTAGAGAAGGCAGCAACAAAAACCATCCCAAAGAAAAGGAAATCCAAGAAAGCCAGGAGAATAAACCTATCAATTCTGAAGGAAATCAACCCCGAGTGTTCACTGGAAGGACAGATCCTGAAGCTGAGGCTGCAATACTTTGGCCATCGCATGAGAAGAGAAGACTCCCTTGAAAAGACTCTGATGTTGGGAAAGTGTGAAGGGAAGAGGAGAAGGGGATGACAGAGGATGAGATGGTTGGACAGTGTCATTGAAGCTACCAACATAAATTTGACCCAACTCCGGGAGGCAGTGCAAGACAGGAGGGCCTAGCGTGCTCTTCTCCATGGGGTTACGAAGAGTCAGACATGACATAATGAGTAAACAACTACAAAATATTGATGTAAACTTCAAAATAATAAAGGATCAACATCATCAACCACCCAGCATAGGATGTATGTGTAGGATAGGCAGGTCCCATCGGAAGAAGGCATTTTGCCAGTTATTCAGGTCCCATACTGTTATCCTATGAAATAAATGCACCAATCTTGCTTAGGACAACCTGTCTGTTGTGAGAAGCAAGAATTAACCAATTAACTTATATTTTCCTCTCTAGAATCCAGCCTGTGAAATCCAGAAAATAGCCAACTTCCTCGGCCTAGAACTCCCTGAATCAATATTGAATCGGATCATACAGCACACTACATTTGACAATATGAAATCAAACCCAATGACAAATTACACCACTTTGCCATCCTCTGTTATGGATCACACTGTGTCAGCCTTCATGAGAAAAGGTAGGGATTGGAAAGGTAATTTCCAACCATAGTGGATATGAGAGGGCATTTGTGGGATACCTTCGGCAGCAACAGGAATGAGTACAAGGTTCCACCCCCCCACCCCACCCCACCCCAAGACTTGTCCCTTTAGTTGAGGCTTCATTTGCAGACAGTAGCAGGTTTTGTCTATTTTCTGGCCTTGGAAGGGTTCACCTGCTGATTTCTCCTCCCACAATGGGCTTCCCATAGAGATTCGCGTCTCAGCAATCAGATTTGCAAACTAAGCCCGTGTTTACCTTCCAGTGAGCAATCACAAAACAAAGCATATTCAATGCAAGATATGCAGGTGAGAAAAATCACATGCCATCACCACTTGGGGAAAACATTTTGGTCAAAAAAGTTATTGTCTAGTTCGATCCTATTTTTGTGGTCTTTGTGGGGCTTGATCCCAAGGTGCTTCCAGGTGGAGATTTCCTATGATAGGTAACTGTTCTGTATTGTTCCATTTTGTTCCTCTTAACAGGTTCCTAGGTGGGGATGGAGGAAATAGAAGAGGCAGTGGCAGATATTAGTGGAAGATTTTGACAGCTGGATGCCTTATAAAATTCTGTGGATGAGGCAGAGCCACTGCATTATAAAAACATGGTTTGCTAGAACCTAACACGTCACATTTTGAGTGCTTGGCTAGAATGTTCCCCAGAACCTTTTGTCAACTGATTAGGACTAGATGTCAAGGAAGTGGCAGAAAAAAAGGGTGTCATAAAAGATTGTGCAAAGGGAGAAAGTTTGAAAGCCTCTGAGTAAGAATAGAGGAGAGGAACATGAATTCTTGAGGGTTTTTCTCCCCCATCTGCAGGCATCGTAGGAGACTGGAAGGAATACTTCACTGTGGCTCAAAGTGAAAAACTGGATGACATCTCTGCCTACAAACTGGGAGGCACTGGACTGACTTTCCGCACTCATCTGTAACCACATTTTTGTGCTCCTCACTATGATTTTAATTAAAATATGCCTGGATCATTTGCTTGCTTTAAATAAGTCAGGAAGCCATGCATTTTGCCTGTGGCCTTTTGAAATGTAATCTATGGTTATTGTTCCTCTCCCTTGTTGCAAGTCATCTGGGAATGAATGGCTCTCAAATGAAATGAGTGGGTTGGCTCTTTATGGTTCCCACACTAACCCTGAGGAATAAGACAAAGACAAGAACAAGGCATGAAGAGATAATGTAAAGAGATAAAAGAACTGAAGGTGGGCTACAGGAAATTAAAATATGTGGTGGGGGGGAAAATCATGAGATGCTGGGAGAAAGACCAAAGAGGGATAAACATCTGAACTGACTTTGTCCCAACAATGGTCAGATTGTATTTCAAAGGGAAATGATTTCTTGGTTCTTCTGGTTGTTTGTTTGAGAGCTGTTTCAAAACAGCCTCTTATATGTACAGTATAATAAGTACATCTCTGGTTCAGAGTGATTTTGATCTGCCTGGTGCAACATACCAATTGTTACTAATGGATTAAACCCCATTAAAGAGGTAATCCATTTGCCTGATGCTTAAAAAGGATTAGCCCTGAGGGCAGGTACTTGAGACGTCTGTAACCTTAGGCTTTTGCTTTCTATAAAGAAGCCTGAAACAGGTAGATGGTGATGGTGCAGAAATGGAGCATCCTTACAATTAGGGTGTGGTTGCTCCATTTTCATCTCTCCAGGGTCTGCTCATATGAAAGTAGACCTTGTTCTTGGGTGAGCAATAAACAATAGGGCTAGGTGAGCTAAGATCTTCTTATGTTCCTAAGTGTCTACCTTCTTTAGAACAAACCAAAATTTGCAAGTTTTTGGTTGAACAACTTTGTTTTTATCATTATTTCATTTTTTCCTGATGCTTTTTCATGTTTCTTCTTTCTAATAAAATACATAAAATCCTGTCCAGGAGTTGGGTGTATCTTTGTGTGAAGAGAAAATTTGCCCCTCCCAGGCTATAGGTTGGGCCTCCTTTTATTTTTATTTTTAAAAAAAAAAAAAAGGCTATAGGTTGGGCCTCCTTTTTTTTCTTTTTCTTTTTTTTAAAATCCCAATGGACACACTTTATCCTACTGGCCTGGTAGCTCGACCCATAGTTCTTTGTCCTACCAATAATCACCCATCCCCGTCCTTCACCCCCCCAGTCCAAAAGCAGGAGGTCAAACACAAATTATGGACAACACATGCCTACTTCTTAAGAAGTAGTTCTCCATCTGCCAAGCTGTGGATGAGTGATGGAGAGTAATGTGCTTAGCTGGGAGTAAGCACCATTGACTCTAATGAATTTTTCTTCTGAGTAGCACCTTGATCAATTCTGAAATGAAGACATAGGTTCAAGCAACCACACTGCCTGAACTGATGCAATGTGAAAGAGTAGAAGCCGGAAGAAGTGGAGGCAAAAAACAATGGATCTGGGTAGAATAACTCCGAGCTGATTTGCATTTCCTTTCATGTCATGTGATCACCAAAAAAAGAAATGGCACTCAACCTGTCCTAATCCAGGAGCATTTCCTGTAAATGTGTTCACAAGTAGTCAGGGTAACCCCCAGGGCACACAAAGCAATTTGCATTTATCCCACATGACCTATACAGTATTTTAAGTCATAGCACATTGAAAATACCCTTCAAATTTGGTGAAAATCCGGCCAACCTTTTAAGACAAAATAATTGGGGTGCTGCCAAGGATCCCCCAAATGATTTTCAGGCATACCACAAAGGTTATTTTAAAAGTATATAATCCAAAACTTGCCCTTCAAATTTGGTGCAACTCTTTCGACCTGTTTTTGTATCATGTTGTTATAAAGGGACCAACAGACAGAAACTTAGGGTGCAATCAGACAGAGATACAGTTTGTATTTTGGCACAGTCTGGTGTGAGATATTTTCCAGCAATCGGGCGATGTACAGGAGGTCACCAACCAGCCCTACTGTGCCCAATCTGGACATTTTTGTTCCAGCAGTAGAGCTACTCTTTCTTGGAGCTGGGTGGGGGTGATTCCTGCAGGCACTGAATGGTTTATCCTTTATTGCTATCTGACCACACCCTTATATAGATTATGTTTGTATTGGTGGAGATAGGGAGAACTGCTGGTACGGTTTTATTTCTCATGCCAAAATAACTTGGTTTGCTTTGGATATTGTGCACCTTGAATTGCAGGGTGGAGTTACTGCTTGCTCTTCCACCTCACGCAGCAAAATGGCTTCCACCAGCCTAGTAGAGGAGTTATCAAAAAAGGCCATTGAACTTAGTTAATACAGTTTTCTTTTTAAATGAAGCCTAAGAGTTTGTACTGGTTTCACAGTTTCTTCCTAGGTCAGGCGATGGGGCCATTACCTCACATTTGCCATAGCTTGCTGGATAGTTGATCACATGCCTTTCACAATACTGACAGTCTCTAAAGGTTTTATTCTAGCATCTCAGTTGAAGGGAGCAGAAAAGCTTTCTGCCCTTTCCGGATACTGGGAGCTTGTTGGCAGCTAGTCAGAGCCTCCATGATTTCCTTATTTATTATTTATTTATCTAAAATAGTTTTACCCCACCTTTCTCTTTAAAAGGACCCAAGGTGGCTTACGACAATGAAAAGACAATATTTAAAAGCTAAAAACAGTGAGAATACATACATTAAAAAAGAATTAAACAGGGATTATCTTTAAAATGTTCAATACAGTCAACACTAAAAATACATTTATGTCAGTCCTCTCCCAGCTACTCTTACAATTTGCTCTTTTGAGGCAAACAACATATTGGCTGAAACCCTGTTGCTTAATGTAGTAAGTCACACTAGAGTAGACCCACTAAATCAGTAAGGATTTGGTGAGTCAACTTCTCTGTAAGTCCAACTGATTCCAATGGGCTTACTCTAGTTGCAATGTCTGTGCTAAAGTTAAGTTGTAACTAGATTAGGCCCATTTGAATTAATGGAGCTTACAGGGGAGGTGACTCACTAAATCCCTACTCTAGTGGATCTACTCTAGTGGAACTTGCTATGCTAGAAACCCCTAGACCCTTTTCACTCAAAATACTGTACTACTAAGCCAGGTGTCTTAACTGTACTAGACATGCCTCTGATTTTTCATAATAACAGATACTCACGTGCCACCAAGTCAATTCTGACTTATGGGGACCCTTTCCAAGGTTTTCCAGGTAGAGAATACTGTACTCAGAAGTGGTTTACCCTTCCCCTTCTTCTGGAGGTGCTCAGGGCCACACAGGAGGCACAGCGGAGAAACCAGCTCCCTGTCTCCAGTTCTGCACTGAGCTGTAAAACATCACATTTCCCTCACTGAAACTTATGTTGCCCCCATTCTCCAATCGCTTGCTCAGGGCCACACAGGAGGCATAGCGGGGAATCCACCTCCCTGTCCCCAGTTCTGCACTGAGCTGTAAAACATATTTCCCCCACTCTGAAACTTATGTTGCCCCCATTCTCCAATCCTCTAGGGCAGCCATTCTCAACCTTTAAAAAAAAAAAAAGATGACCATAAACAAAATGTGAAGGATAGGCCAAATCAGGATAACAAACCTTATGAGGTGGTGTATGGAGAATTTGTGGTCCTCTCCAAATGGCCCCCTGAAGGAGGCCACAGACTGAAAATGTTTTTATTTTATTTTTCTATTCATCTGTTTGTGTTCCAAGTCTGAGTAGTTGGGACCAAGTCCTGAGTCCCTATTGAAATCAAGCTTTTTTTCCCTAAGAAAAGGGGAGGGGTGGGTGGGTTCCAAGCCATAAGTTGAATCCGAGTCATAGGGCGGGGGGGACAAGTAAGGTCCAAGTTAAATGACTGGGTCAAGTTAAGTTTGACTTGACAGCGAGTCCTGTAACTCAAGTACCCATCCCTGGTTGTACCCTTGTTTGACGGGCTAAGCCGTAAGTTGAATCCGAGTCATGGGGTGGGGGTGGGGGACAAGTAGAGTCCAAGTTAAATGACTGGTCCAAGTTAAGTCTGACTTGACAGCGAGTCCTGCAACTCAAGTACCATCCCTGGTTGTACCCTTGTTTGACGGGGACCCTGGGACCTACAAAGAGCTCCTAAAATGGTTGTAACAAACAAATAAATAAATAAAAGAAAATGGTTGAGAATGGCAGATCTAGAGTTTTGATTCTGTCCTCTGAGGTCAGAGCTACTTCCTTCCATCTCATGTCATCGGCAGATTTGATGAGCATCCACTCTGCACCCTCGTCCAAGTCTTTTATAATGATGTTCAGCATTATGAGGCCAAGGATTCTACCTGCAGCATCTCACTTCTCTCCAGGATAACGTGAAACCACTGGTAAGCATTCCTGGGGTACATTCCATCGATCAGGTACAAATCAACAGAACTGTAGCATTGTCTAGTGCCACGCATTAGGAGCTTTTCCACAGGAATTTGGGGAAGTATGGTACCTTTCCAAAAACCTTGCAGAAATCACAAAACGCTGCCTCCAAAGAACTCCCCAACATTCTTTCATTCATAAGAATCAAGAGGCAGCACTAGCTGGACAGTCATGGGCATTAGCATAGCCTGCACAGACCTTCTTGACAAACAAAAAGCAGGTAAAACATGAGAAGACCAACTCAAATGGAACAAGCCAGCTGCAGAGTGTGTGAGTGTGTGGTTGTGGGAGGGAGTGGTGTGGCGAGAGAAAATGAGAGGTTTTGTGGAGGGAGACTACCACTTTTATTGCTTGGAGAGGAACTGACTGGGTGAGATTTGGCTCTGTAAATTCTGGCTAGTATTTAGAGTGTTAAAGCAAAATGTAGAAATCTGATCTCAATTTGGGGAAAAAACGAACATATCGGACCACTTCCTCAACCACAGTAGTAGCAGAAGTCAGCAGAAGTCATAGAAACTAACTCCCTGGATTTTGGAACCCAGCTCCTGCAGCAGAAGTCTTCGGAACAGCTGTTGAACGGGTCAGTGCCTCACTTTTTTTAAATGGAATTACAAGATTGTCAAATTTGCTTCTGTGGGAAGTCTCCTTTGGATGGCTTACATTTGCCTTTTCTGTCTGCTCCATTCCTCCGTTGACTGAAACTTTAAGGTGAAGGGTTAGGGTCAGTGGCCCAGATGGAAAAGATAGCACCACGCTTGTACTAAAATATGAAAATAACCAGCCGTGAAGGGTGTTTTTTAGTATTGCATGTAACTGACACTCCATAGTGCCTTCCTGTTAAGGACACTCATTTTCTGTTTTCTGTTCTTTATTGCTGTTCTTTCACAAAACAATTATCTGAAAATGCTTTCCGACCCCACCCCCCATATAAAATTGCAGTCTGCAGTCAAATAACTGTAATTGGAAGAGTCCTCTCTCTCTCTCTCTCTCTCTCTCGCTCTCTGGACAGGATGTAGACTTTTGTTTGCTTTCCCCCTGCTCAGTCCCACTTCAATCTGAAGTGGAATTAATCCTTTTCTGTTTGGTTTCCCATATATCTGTACAAAGAGACACCCCATGGCGGACCCCCTTTTTTAAAAGATTTTTACTGATGCAGAAGTAGAAAGGGAACTTCTCCTTCCTGAAAAGTAGACTTAACAATTTCTTTAGGCACTGCAGTTAATTTGGTCTAACCTAAAACATGCATACTAGGAACTTTTCTTAGATCTATAAATACCTTTTAATATGAATTTTGAAAAAAAAAAGTTAACTCACTTGTGCAGAAGCATAATAAAAAACCTAGTTGTATTAGCAACGGCAAGATAATGAGGTTTGAAGCAGAACACATGAGATGCATCTTCAACCACATAGATTAGCATCTCATCCCAAAAAGCCTCCATGACCTACACAGATACAAAAAGTTATTTTTTAAAAAATGGAAAAATGCTTTTTTTCTGTTCCTGGAGGTCTCCAGGAGCAGCAGGGTGTTTTTGTATGTCCAGAACCTCCCTCTTCCAAAAATAAACATTAGAAGTGGGCACCCATTTCCTTCCTATTTTAATTATCTCCCCATTTTTGGCTATTTCTGTAAATGGTACAAGGGAGGGAGGGAGGGGGCTGTGGGGGCCGCATATTGCCCCAGGATGCACTTTCCCCAAGCCTGATTTAGAGGTCAAATTTATATTTGGGTTTGCCAAATACATGTTTCCCCTCATACACAATATGATTATCTGTGCTTGGATGTACTTCTCACCTGACTGTTGCACTGCTCCTAAGAACCACCACAAACATCATCACTCTGCTGTTATTGTTTTAATTTCTATTACACTTCCCCTGCCCGCCCACTACTTGCTTTGAATGTCTTCCTTCTGTGCCCCTGGTAAAGAGGGCTAAAGTCCATGAAAGCTGATGCCGATAGGGTGCCACAAGACACTTCATTTCTAGAATATTTCGCACTGCACTTGACACCGCCGGACTGAACCTTAGGGACTGCTTCAAAATGTCTTACTCACTTTGTCCTTCCTTACGGAGAATGAGAGATGGCCACCAGAGCCAGATGTGGGGGCAAATGTCCAGGGGTCCCAGAAGCCTCCAAATGAAGCTACGCCCACTTGCCAGAGCACTAAACCTAGAATCGAAAACTGATATTCTATGTCAGCTGATGACACACTATATTACTGTATGTGTAAGCGGACATTTTTCCGTGCCTTCAGGAAAGTCATACAGTAAACTCAGGAAAAGTGCAGGCAAAATGCCCAGCTCTAGCGTGCAGGCAAACTCAACCAGAAATACACACCCACTGCTCTGGCATGAACCTACACACCCTGCCAAGTTTCCCGGTCATTTAGAAACCTTGGAAAGCGAGACAAACAAAGGCAAGAAAAAAACTTTCACAGCTGTAGGAGGCAGGGAAGCTCACAGGTAAGCAGGTATCCTGGTTTACTTGGGTTTTAGCTAATGGTCCTGGAGGTTATGGGGCAGGGGTCCTAACAGCCTATGTAAGGGGAGGCAGTAAAGTTAATGGAAGTGAAGTTCATCATCCTGAGGGCTACAGATTCCCATCTTTTCCTGTACGATAACAGCAAACTGATTTATTCGCAGCAAAATTCCTTATTCTTTATCTTGGCAACTTCCATGCACAGAAGAAATTTATGGAAAAGCTTAGAGTAAACTGACATTTAGCAGAAATACAAGAAAATTGGAGAGAAGACCATTAGAGATCCAGAAATTTTGTGGGGGAGTGGACAGAGCTCTCAAAATTCCTCAACCCTCCTGACCATGCTGGCTTAGGAATTCCATGAGTTGCTGTTCAAAAAATGCAACTTTTCCAAGTTCTGTGGCCACAGAACACTGAGTATCTGTGGGAGTCAGTCTAAGAAAGTGCAGTAAATGTAACATTCCAGAAGAGGATAGAACCTTGATCGAGGCTTGGAGTGCTCTGTTATTGCCTTAGAGGCAGTGTTTGGGAGTAATTAAAATAATGTAATTATCTATAACTGGTTACCTTGGGTAGCTGTATACATAACTAATAATTTTACAGTTATAAGTGTAACAACAGACAGTTAAACTGTATAGTTGAAATGAATAACATTTAAAAGTTACTTTTAATGTGTATTTTAAGACATTTTTAGAAGCATCTAATGTGAATTTTTAAAGTTTTGGGCCATTATCTGATCCTTCCTTATTAGCAAGGAAAGTATTCTTTGGTTTTATGGTCTGGACTTTTACTAGTCTTTTCAAGGTACAATGTACAATGTCAAAGAGCACTTCTCTGTATTCTTCTGACTTCCTGACTGACAATGACAACATATCGAGTAACATACAGTGCAGCAGAGAACATCAACTTGGCTGTCAAAAAATTAAAAGTTGTGCAATGAGTTCCTTTGAAAATGTGAGCTCTGCTTACAGGTCCTGTCCACTATAATACCCTTTCCTTCTCTGTCAGGCAATGAGTACCGAAGAGAAGTTTGGCTTTCACAGCCTCAAGTCGATCAAGCGTGCAGATTTGGTAGAGGTTGATGGAGTCCATTTAATTGATGGCACAGCAGAGAACTGGGAGTCTCTCTGGGGCTTCAAAGCCCAGCCTGATGACCTTCTCATTTCCACTTATCCCAAAGCAGGTAGATGCGGAGCATTGAAGGGCATTGGGCTCATGGTGGGAAGGTGGGAATTTGGATGAAGCTTTGGAGGCCAAATGGAGCTTGGGAGGTGGAGGGCCGGTGCCCAGAGGCTGGAATCTATCACTTTTCTAAATCTATCCCACTAGGAACCACCTGGATTCAGGAAATTGTGGACATGATCCAGCAGGAAGGTGACTCAGAAAAATGTGCTCGGGGCCCCATCTATGACAGAATGCCTTTCATAGACCTCTTCCTTCCAAAACCCTTTCCAACATGTATGTAACATGTCCTGTTTTGGGGAGATGATGGGAGAGGGTTGGGGGAAGTGTTGTTGTTTTTCTCAGGATGAGACTGAATGTGGCCCCTCTGACATTTCAGGGCTAGAAATGGTAGAGTCGATGCCTTCTCCACGCACAATGAAAACTCACCTGCCAGCCCAGCTAGTGCCACCTTCATTCTGGGAACAGAACTGCAAGGTCAGAACAAGGAGGGCAAAGTTGATCATGAGCAAGGGATTAATGCCAGTCAAGATTTTAATCTTAGAGTCTCTTTCACAAGATGAGATATGATCTCAATTTTTCTGCTCTTGCAACATCTCCTTCCAGGCAACATTATCGTTATTGTTATGCATGCCTTTGCAAGTAGGCCTGTTAAGGAAGCTGTTAGTTACAATCCAATTACACTTGCAGCTCTGTTTTTAACATGTTTTCACAATCACACCTTTTCCGCTGCTTAAGGGAGTTACAGGATCAGCAACCTGCCTGTGTAGGTGCTTATTCTCCTGAATCATGCTTGGAACCTGGGAAATGATGAAATGAGACAGTGCCACTGAAAATGTCTGTATGGAATGAAGTGCTCAGTATAATGAGGTTGCCAAGTTAGACTCTGTAATTTTCAGATAGATTGGGACATACTTTTCCCTTGGAGGCACAGAACACTGCCTCCTAAAAAAATCAGATAATGCCGTTAAGAGTGTTGGATCCTCTGCTTCTTCTACAGATCATTTATGTCGCCAGGAACGCTAAGGACAATGCAGTCTCCTACTTTCATTTCCACCGCATGAACCATGGGATGCCAGAGCCAGGGACCTGGGACCAATTTCTGGAGAATTTCCTTACTGGGAAGGGTGAGAAGATGCTAAAACAATAGGAAAAACAGGAGAAAAGAAAGACCAAAACATCTAGGGGAGAAGGGTATTGTGTCTAACCATCCTTATAGAGAAGGATTCATCTTGATGCCCTTCTGAACTGTTGAGTCAGAGCTCAGAAAGGTTATATTTTAAAAGGAACTTTTATTATTCATTGCTTTTGGACAGTTAGGTTGTTATTGCTACCACTGTTCCGCTTGCTCAAGTAATTCATTGAACTGTGTGTGATCAATTCATTGCATTTTCTTTACTAGATGTGTACAGATTTGTATTTTAGCTCCCCTAATACCCCAGATATCTATGGGAGTTGTATCCAAAATCACAGACCTGTAGCAATTACCATCAGACAGGGAAAAAACATTCTGCTTCCCCTAGTAGTCACTTTTGATACTGCAGCGTGGAAATTATAAAAATGTAACACATAAAACACATGTCCCGGACAACCCAGATAGTGTGGTTGCTGACCTTGAGCCAGACATCCTGGAGAGTGAAGTCAAGTGGGCCTTAGAAAGCTTGTCTAACAAGAAGGCCAGTGGAGGTGATGGCATTCCAGTTGAACTATTTACAATCTTAAAAGATGGTGCTGTTAAGGTGCTATACTCAATATGCCACCGAGTCTGGAAAACTCAGCAGTGGCCAGAGGATTGGACAAGATCAGTCTACATCCCAATCCCAAAGAAAGGCAGAGCCAAAGAATGCTCCAACTACTGTACAATTACACTCATTTCACATGCTAGCAAGGTTATGTTAAAATATCCTCCAAGGTAGGCTTCAGCAGTATGTGGACCGAGAACTCCCAGAAGTACAAGCTGGATTTCAAAGGGGCAGAGGAACCAGAGAGCAAATTGCTAATATGCGCTGGATTATAGAGAAAAAGAAGAGTTCCAGAAAAACATCTAAATCTGCTTCATTGACTATGCAAAAGCCTTTGACACTGTGGACCACAGCAAACTATGGCAAGTTCTTAAAGAAATCGGAGTGCCTGACCACCTTGTCTATCTCCTGAGAAACCTATATGTGGGACAGGAAGCAACAGATAGAACTGGATATGGAACAACTGATTGGTTCAAAATTGGGAAACAAGTACAACAAGGCTGTATATTGTCCTCATTTATTCAACTTATATGCAGAATAAATCATGTGAAAGTCTGGACTGGAGGAATCCCAAACCGGAATCAAGATTGCTGGAAGAAATATCACCAACCTCAGATATGCAGATGATACCACTCTGATGGCAGAAAGTGAGGAGGAATTAAAGAACCTCTAATGAGAGTGAAGTCTGAAGCTCAACATAAAAAAAAAAACACCTAAAATCATGGCCACTGGTCCCATCACCTCCTGGCAAATAGAAGGGAAAGATATGGAGGCAGTGACAGATGTTACTTTCTTAGGCCCATCGATCACTGCAGATTGTGACACTGCAGATTGCTTCTTGGGAGGAAAGCGGCAAGAAACCTAAAAATCAGAGACCTCACTTTGCTGACAAAGGTTCGCATAGTCAAAGCTATGGTTTTTCCAGTAGTGATGTACAGAATTTAGAGCTTGAACATAAAGAAAGCTGACTGCCGAAGAAGTGATGCTTTTGAACTGTGGTGCTGGATGAGACTCTTGAGAGTCCCCTGGACTGCAAAGAGAATAAACCTATCCATTTTGAAGGAAATCAACCCAGAGTGTTCACTGGAAGGACAGATCCTGAAGCTGAGGGTCCAATACTTTGGCCATCTCATGAGAAGAGAAGACTCCCTGGAAAAGACCCTGATGTTGGGAAAGTGTGAAGGCAGGAGGAGAAGAGGACGACAGACGATGAGATGGTTGGACAATGTCACTGAAGCTACCAACATGAATTTGACCCAACTACGGGAGGCAGTGGAAGACAGGAGGGCCTGGCCTGCTCTGGTCCATGGGGTCACGAAGAGTCGGACACGACTTAATGACTAAACAACAACAAATATATAAAACCAAATAATACTTCCCTTACTGTTTAGGATTAATAAGAGAATGACAAAGTGGTTGTGTGTGTTTTTCGGGCTCTTTGGCCGTATTCTGAAGGTTGATCTAATGTTTCGCCAGTCTGCGTGGCCGGCATCTTCAGAGGACAGCACTCTGTGCTCTGTGAGGAGAGCACAGAGTGCTGTCCTCTGAAGATGCCGGCCACACAGACTGGCGAATCATTAGGAAGAACAACCTTCAGAACACGGCCAAAGAGCCCAAAAAACCCACAACAACCATTAGATCCCATGAGAACAAATCAGGTCGCTGCAGTTCATTTCCTTCACTTGTGCCTCTTTGCAGTTGCTTGGGGCTCCTGGCTTCACCATGTTTGCGGCTGGTGGGAAGCGAAGGACCGACACCCAATTCTCTATCTCTTCTATGAAGACATAAAGGAGGTGAGCCATTTGTATACACATAACGTCACACAAGATCCAAGTAAAAATCTGGTAGCGCTGGACATTCATTTTAATTAGGATCTGGGGGCGAAGTGGGAGGTGACAAGATATCCATCTTCAAGTAGCTGAAATTCTGTCACATAGATGAGAGTTGTTTTGTGTTGCTGTATTGGGTAGGGCCAGAACTAATGCATTGAAATTACAAGAAACGGGATTTTGACATGAGACGCTCTTTATCATATTAGCTGGGTGACAGGAAGAGACTGCTTTGAAGGGTAGTTGACTCTCTTTTGCTAAAGGATTTTAAGGAGAAGCAGTATAGCCACCTAGCTGGAGTGTCATAGCGCTACATCTCATGCATCAGCAGGAAGCTGAACTAGGCTCTCACTGAAGTCCCATCTTATTCTCTAATTCTGTAAATGCATGATTCTCTTTCTTCTTTGAGTAGTTCTAGGTGAGGCTGTAAGCTCATCCTTACTTTCTGTCACTGATTTTTCAGGAACTTAACTTTATATTATCCTCTACTTAGAAAGTTTAATTTGATTTGAGAAATAGCTAAAATCCTGTCCATAAATTATGCTTGTGTAAAGTGGATTATGTCATTGGGGTGATTTTTCAGAAATTATACATTTCTTACTTCTGTCCTGGGACTCCCATGGGTCCTGTGTAATCCTAATCAGGGATGGTGGTGACTTTCAGCAATTAGACTTCTTCTGTCCTGCAGTGCCCATGGCTTCCTGATATTGAGAACGACAATTACATGCCATCAAGTAAATTTTGATTTATGGTGACTCTTCCAGGGTTTTCTAGATCCATAGAAGCAATCTGAATACTTTCCTCAGAAGCAAGAAATGTCTGATTTTCAAAAAATCACCATGTCTGATGACATCATCTACTTTATGTTGGCATAAATTATGGAATACGATGCTTGCTAATTAGTAGTGTAAGAAGGCTTTTATCTTGAATTTCTCCATATTTATGTTCCCCTTGGGAATTAGATCTGGGGTGCTTTGCTCCAGAGCACCAAAATATAGGTGGCATCAAAATCTTAAGGAGAACTATTGATGAAAGTTAGCAAAATAAATGGTAAGGCCTCCTGGTCCTATTTATTTTCCTCTTTTTCTTCTTGAAAGCAGAGACTCTTTCTCTCTCTCTCTAGGACCCAGCTCGGGAAATCCGGAAGGTAGCCCAATTCCTGGGCCAAGAGCTCCCAGAATCAATTGTGAATAAAATAGTTCAGCACACGTCGTTTGAGAGCATGAGAACCAACCCGATGGCTAATTACAGCACCCTGCCCTCCTTCATCATGGACCAAACCGTGTCACCCTTCATGAGATCAGGTGGGGTAACAAGGCAGATGGGCTGAGTGCCGCTTAGAGTTGGTAGGAGGGAAGCTACATAAGACTATCAGGTGCAGCTCTGAAAAGGCGAGAAAGGAGGTGGAATCGCAGCATTCTCCAGAGAGTCTGGGGCCAGGATTGCTTTTGGAAAATATTGCGTGATTCTTAAAAAGCAGGCATGCCATTCACCTACCAACTCCTTGCTTTTGCTCTATATGTGGACAAGGCGTTATTATTTTTCCCTCAGAGGTGGAGACTGGAAAACCCCAGTCAATTCCAAGAACACCTCAAAATACAATTAAAAAAAAGGTAACTCTCGCGAATACATCTGGCTAATCTCTCTCTTTTTTATATATGGGTGATTATACAGGAAAGCAAAAGTCTCGTCTGTAAATACCTGTGTTGGTTAATGAGTATATAGCCTGTGGTTAAACACACAGGATCCTGGCTGCCTGCTTGTTTTGGGTCAGGTGGCAACCATAGCTGCATCGGATCTCCCAGACTCCCAGCCAGCATCCAAAAGACTCTTTCCTCTCAACCTCCCGCTCCAATTTTATTGCCTCCATAACTTGTTGTCATTGCATGACGCAGCACCCTACGGGTATCCTATTTTCCCAAGGTTAATAAGTATGAGATAATGTCAGGTCAATTTGGACTTCATGATCCTTCCAGGATGGGCGGGTCCAAAACGCTACAGCCAGATTGCTAACTGGGGCTGGGATTACATCACACACATAATTGGTTACAGGGGCTCCACTGCTGTTTCCGGGCACAATTCAAAGTGTTATTTTTAATCTATAAAGTGTTAAATGGCTTGGGTCCAAACTATTTGAAAAAACTGTATCTCGCTCAAAGAGCTTGCCAGGTCATCAGGGGACGCCTTTCCCTCAGTCCAACCACCCTCACACTTTTTCTGCTGCTGCACCCCAATTCTGGAACTCACTCCCACAGGAGGCCAGATTGCCCTCATCTTTGCTGTCCTTCCACAAGCAGGCGAAGAGTCCTTTCTCTTCCGATAGGCTTTCTACTCCCCCAGTCAGTTTCCATGGCTGAGTGGGGGATTCAAACTCTGTTCTTGAGTGCTAGTCCATCATTCGATCCACTACACCACACTGGACGCCCAAACAGAGTGGCTTATATTTTGTTGCTTCTGTATCTTTTTTTTCATAATGCATTTACCTAACATTTTAAATACATCATTAATTCTCCTTTAATACTTGAATAATTTATTGTTTCTAGCTTTTAATATAGTGTTTTTAAGCTGCCTTAAGATGTAAGCTGCCTTGGGTTCTTTTTTAGATGAAAGGTGAGGTAAAAAAAAATCTTAAATACATTTTTAGGTATGAAGTAAAGGTGGTAGTGGTTGTTGTTTTCAGTGACTGAGGGTTAAATTTTGATGAGCTAGATACCTATGTGAACTATTCAGACAAAGAATTTCAGACTGTCTCTCTTTTGATATTACTATGGTCTGGCTTCTGACCCTATAATTGTTTCCTGCTTCGTGGACATACGGCATTAATCAGTTGCCATTCAGTTAGCTCTTAATTAAATTATTCTGTTTCCCTTTTTTTCTAGGCAAAGCAGCTTTCACTTCTGTCATTTCTTTTCATCTTTTCTTTATTGCAAAATAATTCTGCTCTTTTTTAGTAAATAACATTAATAGTAGGAAAGCAGTAAGTTTTCGAAGAAATTACTGTGTGAGTCTGTGCAAACAGAGATAGACATAAATATCCATGAAACCAGATATGAAAATATGTGATGCATTAAGTGCCACAACTTTTCTTTTGCTTTTTGTCTGGAGACGCAATAATTGAAGACTGCAATAATAGGGAGTAGAAATAAGGGAATTAAAAGCTCTCTTCTTGCAGGCACTGTCGGAAATTGGAAGAAACAATTCACAGTGGCTCAGAGTGAACGGCTGGATGATATGTATGCCCCAAAACTTCAGAAAAGCGGCCTAAATTTCCGCTACCAGTTAGAAGCATAATGCTGCAAAATTCTCACCAAGACCTTCACCAACATGTACACAGGTTTTTGACTTTAATAAAAGTTATAAATGAGAGAAACTGGATTTTGTGTGTTGGTTTTTAAATTTTTCTTTTTGTACTACACATTTATAGACACCAATATTCATATGGATTTATAAGACAGTGGTGTGTAGATTGGCATTTTTGGACTACAACTCCCAGAATTTTGCATGCATTCCATAGTCCAAAAAGCACAAATTTATACATCTGTATTATAAACGTTATGATATTTACTTTCTGAGTGTATGTGTTCCCCTTATGTTTCTGCTTCAGTGGCCAGGACACCTGGTTTCTCCACAGCTGAACATGATTTAATGAGTTAAAGTGAGTAAGAGGTAGGAATCTAGATTTTGTGGTAGATGTCATACACTAACACTACATAAATAAACATTTATTTCCAAACAAGTTTAAGCCATGGTTTTGTCATACAGAAACAGCCAATTGAGATAACATGCTCCTTAATTTCTCTCTCTTTTTCTCTCTTCAGTTTCGATGCTGTCTAGAAACCACAGGAAGCAATGGGAAGGGGGAAGACATTTTACACTCGCAAATTATTGTAAATCTAGTAGGCGTATGTATCCTGCTGGGAATGTGAAGAAATTTTACCAGCATTCCATTTACATTTCATATACACACTAAGACAGCCTGTTTAGAATTCTTGTTCCCCTGTGAGAAATCTTGTCTCTAGCACAACAGCAAAACACCACAGGTTTTTTCCCCCTCCTGTCTTTCTTTGTCCATCTGTGAACATATGTCCAGTGTCTTCTCCCTTTTAGATGTTAAACATACAACAAAGGTAAAAAGACAGTGTGATTGCTCAATAAGATAAAAGTAACTTATCCAAGCCTTCTACTTTTTACTGTCCCATGCAAAAAGAGAACAATTATTGCAGTTTTGCATTCTGGGTACAAGTGGTGCGGGTCCATGGAAATGGAAATGGACTGTCTTTCGTCTTTGGAATGCATTGAAATCTATGTTCCAATTGGGGGAAAAATTCACTGTCTTGCAAAACACAGTTCCCCATACCATCTTGGGGAAAAGCAATCCCCTCACCTGCACTGCCTTTGGAAATTCAATGGGTCTCAGATAGCCTTCTCCGTATCTCTCTCTCCAGGAAAGGGTTTCTTTGTCGCTAGAAAGGAAAAGGAGGTGAAAGGAGTCAAGTCCCCTTCTGTCCCCTGACCCCACAAAGCATGGTGACCCCCTGGCTGCACCTCCCACTCAGTTCAGGGCTATCCTCTAGTGCACAGGTATTAGCATCAGCTAGGTGTTCTGCCCACAATTAGCATATGCTAATACATTATGCTAATACCTCTGCACTAGAGGATTGTGGGAGGAACACTTAGGCCATGATGGGGGTCCCGCAGGGCACCCCAAAACACTGAGAAGCTCTCTTGGCCTCTGGTAGGACTGGGGCTCTGCAGCCCTGTACTGAGCAGGAGGTGCAGCCAGGGGGCCCCCATGACTTGAGGGGTTAATGGACAGAATGGGGTAGGAGATGCAAGGGCAATTCCAACTTATACTTTCCAAGGAAAATATTATCTCATAAAAATCCTTTTCTTAGGGGAAAGATTAATCCATTGCACTTAGGGTGTGTTACTGATCTGTGTAATTTCCCTAAATGTGAGGAAATCAGTTTTATAACTTATGTTAATAAGGTTACATTTATATTAAGATTATTTTTAAAGTTATTGTATCTTTTGCTTTTTGTCTACTTTTACTGCTCTCTATCATTTAAGTTTGCAACCATAAACCCATTAGCAATGCTTTGCAGGATGGGTTTTTTTCTCCCAATTGGAGCATGTTAATTACATACACTGTATACTTTCCTCTCAGCAGCATACACTTTTTGGGGGGATAAAAAAGCAGGTTTTATGTAATTAATGTATCCAATGGGGGGTGGGGAACTGTCTTGCAGGCAAGGACCTAAACATTGTCCAGCAATTGCCCATAGGAATACTCACATTTTCCAGCAATTGCCCATAGGAATAATCATTTTGGGAAACACAACATTGCTCAAAAAAGTCACCGTCTAGGCTAGTTAATTCATCATTTTGTTTTGTGGTTTTGCTATTGCCAGTATCTTGTCGCTTGTCCCAGTAGTTCCCCTCAGGGCTAAAGATTACTGAGAATTTGTTTGAATTTGTTTTTTATTACAATTTACCAAAATTCCGACATGTTTCCAGAAATAAAGACTTGGGATTTTAAGAAGTTAACTGGGGATTACCAAAATTGACACACACCATCCAGGCTCAGAGCTTTCACTGGTAAAAATGTTGGTTTGAATCCCTGTGTATTCTAACACATTGACCCTGAGTTAGGGTTTATCCAAGAGCCTCTTACTCAGCAGCTACGTGGTAAGCATATATGATGTAGTTCTCTCCATGTTGTGTCTGTAGAATTCATCTAATAAAGACAGATGATAATCTAATTTTAGTTCACTGTTGGTAACAGTTTCATAAGTTTTTACAAATGCCTTCATAGTGTGCAAAATTCACAACTTTCTATTCAGGGCAGAAAGAACTGGAGATTATTATTTTAAATGGCTGTGGGACAAAGCAACAGAATTTATCTATCCCTGTCTAGGGGCCATCTGGATGCAAGAAATTATGGAAGAGAGTTTAAGGAAAATATTAGGGTTAAACTTTACATTAAATGGCTTACGTACTCGCAGTAATCAACTAGCTCCCCTGACAAATGATTTCCTCAGGGACACATGCCTCAAGCAATTTGTTTTGCAAATCAAGCCCATATTTACCTTTCAGTGAATCTTGAAACAAAGCACAATAAATGTGAGATAAGAGAGGTGAGAAATATTATGTGTGTTATGACAATTGTCTTTTACCACTTGGAGAAGTGTACTGTCTAGGTTGAACCTTGAACAAACAGGGACCATGGTATTGGTGACGAAAGCAGCAAACTCTGTTATCCAGAGTTTGTCCTTGAGGAGATTGAACAATGTGAGATGGAAATCAGGGTTTCCTATAAGCAGTTCCTTAAGTGCAGTATTATTGCTTACATGCATGAATTTGACACTAAGTTTAAAAAATTATTTCATTGGGCTGCTAGATGGCTTCGTGATTTAGGTATCTGACGGTGGAGCCAGAGCTTGGGATTTCAATCCCCCCACTATGTCCCCTTTTCAGGGGCTAGATTTGATGGGTTGCTTCCTGCTCTGCAGTTCTAAGATGTTGTTGTTGATGATGACTCCCCTACAAATATCCCAGTTTGCCAGCTGGAAATACCAAGAGAACAAGCTACATTTAGATTGTGAACCATCTGGAGTTCTGAGCATCGTGAGGCATTTCAGGGAAGACAACTGCACAAATCTATCTATACATGTTGAAAATCTACATAGCTGAAAGTGAAAAATGTGAACACATAATAAATGGGTCACATCAGGTCAAAGTTTACACTTTTCTTATATCACCTCATTAGGGAGCTGGCTGCCATCAGAACTGACTCAATGGTATGGAGAGGTAATTATTATTATGGAATTTGGAATTAAGTTTAGTAAGCTTTTAATACTGTCAACAAAGGGGAGGGGTTAGGTTGGATCTTCCATGTTACAACTCTGAAGAATGAAAGGTCTTGCCAGCCTTTCCCCAATTGCCCCCCCCTTTCAACTACATGTCCCATGATTCCAAGCCACTAGAAGATGATGAGTACAGATTATGGGAGATGTAACCCAGCATGTTGAATTTATCAAAGAGTGAGCTCAGGACCAGATTATCTCTCCTCAGTTTGCTTTACTTTCTTTTCACAGATCATTTATGAGGCCTGCAATGTCCTGGGCAATCAATGTTGTTTCTTATTTCCACTTCCAATTCATGAACCTGGAAAGTGAATGATTTTCTGGAGAATTTCATTGCTAGGAAGAGTGAGTGGAGAAGGTAAAGAGAAAAAGAGAGAACTCTATGGTCAGGAGTCCTGTCAATTCTAGGGAAATGGTTATGCTTATCTCCTAAGCACCAACCTTCAGAACCAGCCCAAGACGTTTTGCTACCCAAGACAAAGGACAATAATACATCCCAACTGGTTTCACATACAATAACTAACTGAACTGGGAAGTAGATTTTATCTCAGTACTGGAGATGGTGTAACATTCTGCTATCACACCTGAGAAAGCAGGCTAGTGGAATGGCTCAAGAATAGGTTGTGTGGCATACACACTTCAACCACAAAAGAGAGGGGAACAGCTGAGAAGTTCAGGAAGAGCGGCCAAGAGACTACCAATGCTGTCCACCTCTCAGCGTTTACCACTGAGGCAAGTTGCTGCACTCTGCCTAAAGGTAGAGCTGGCCAGAGCTAGGCCTAAGCTAAACCTCAAAGCTTCCCAGCTAGGCCTTTCTTTCCTTCAGATGAGCCACATTTAGATGCCTATAGGCATGGATCTGTCTGGTGGAATTCCCAAAATTAAGAACTGCGGGATTTGTGGTCTCCAAAATCCAAAAGCTCCATGCCTAGTTATTTTTCATAAATTGCTAGTGCTTGAGCTGAATTGTGACACCACCTTTGGAAATTTGAGCCTGGGGGGGGGGCAGGAGAGAAATGTTTGGCTGGCTGGTTCACTTTGCTTCTCATACATCACAACACTGTGGTATTATGTTCCATCTACTGTTGAAATGGAAGCTTCTGTTGACAAAGAAACCTAATACAGTATATTCTTAAGCAAACACACACACACACACACACACACACACACACACACACACACACACACGGCTCCAAGTATGGATATTTCATTTCACAAAGGGAAAACTTCTGTTTCTCATTATTTTTCCTGCCTCTTACTCTCAAGTAATCCATCCTCCCAAAAAACATATAACAAAAGCACATACTCAAGATTCCCATTTAACTCATTTCCGGTAATGAATCCTATATCCAGAACTCAGCTTTCTCAGGAGAAGATATGCTGGCTTTCTTTTCCCTATGTTAATTCCACCCACCCCCCCAGGACACTTCCTTAGTGGAATGCTGTTTTTGCAAACAATGATTTACTAGAGAGTCTTCTTAACTTAGGTTCTATCTGTTTAGGCAGGACAGAGAATAAATGAGCACGATCAGTATGGCTCTTTTTCCAGAACAGAAGTAAGTTCCATTTGTCAATATGTTGCTGTATATTTCAATGTTTTAAATTAACATTTTCATATATTTATGCGTTTTTGTTGTGTTTTTAGCAGCCCCAAACAAGAAACTTTAATTTCAAAATAAGTTAAGCGCAAGTAATACAGGATGTGATTTACCTTATAGTTTGTATCAGATTGGCACGGTTAAAATCAAAGTATTTACCGTCAACTACATGGCATAATGTTAACTACAGAGAAGCCCAGTATTTTCCCATGGACATTAGTTAGGTTTTGTTCAAAGGCAGGGAGTGGGGTGTTCGTTTGTTTTTGCATAGCTTTCAGCTGGTACTGCTTTTCTGTGTTTTCTGGCATGTGTGATTGAAGGCCAAAGGGCCAGTTATGGAAATGTCCTATGGTGTCTTCAGTAGAGCATGGTGTTACAGTAGGATAATTCCCCTCAACAATGTGCCTGTTATCTCCTTTTATTTTTTCCCCTTTTTTAAAAATTGTGCTTTCGGAATTTAGTGCTTTATCGCACTGGTTCTTAACCTTGGGTTACTCAGGAGTTTTGGACTGCAACTCCCAGAAGCCTTCACCACCAACTGTGCTGGCTGGGGTTTCTGGGAGTTGCAGTTCAAAAACATCCGAGTAACAAAGGTTAAGAACCACTCAGATAAGCACTAGCCCACCTCTGAAAACTAAAACTAAGAAATGAAGGTAAAGAGAAGGGGTGGAAAATAAGCCAGAATTAATAAGGAAAAGCTGTGTTCCCAGTGGAAATTGAAATGATTGGAAAGTGTGGTGTGGACTCTTACAAAAGGATAGTTAATTGCACTGGTGTGGTTGACGATAGGGATTTCAGCCACGGAAACTACCAGGGACCTGACTGAAAAAACTTCAAAGCAAATAGGTGTACTTTCCTATATAGTCATGCACTCAGAAATTTTGAGAATTGTTTTTCTCTCCTTGTGGCTATGAAGAATAACACACACAAAATATTCACAATTAACTATGGACCTTAGTTGGAATGAACTTGAAAGTCAACAACAGAGAACCTCAAGGGGATTGAGCTTTCCAGATTTGCCTCAGAGATTATAGGAACCAGTGTTCTCAGTTACTCTGGTACTGGCTATGATTATCCCCTGAGAAAACAGAAAGGAATGAAGGAAGGGAGGTTGGTCAGGTCTGTAATGCAAGTTATACTGTCTGCAATGCACGTTATGCTGTCAAACAGGTGTGGAATGATAATCTGTGGTCCAAACAATGTTGGCAGAGAGAGCAGGATGGAGAAACAAATTAATTGGGAGATATGTAGGAAGGTAGATCCATTATTATAATTTCTTTTTCTGCCCTGCCACAGGATGGACACTGAATCTGAATCAAAATGTTTTAACATCAACTCTTCCAAGTTCTCAAAGCTGGTGGAGACTGAGGGAGTTCCTTTGCCCAGTAAAACTGCAGAGAGGTGGGATCAAATCCAAGACTTCAAAGCTCGGTCTGATGACCTCCTCATCTGCACATATCCCAAAGCAGGTAAATTGTAGAGAAATATGGGGCATTTGTGTGGCTATAAAGAGAGTGCAATGGAGCTGGGGGTGTTGAGAACCACTGGATGAATGCTACATTCTTCAATTTTTCTCCACTTCTTTTTGGTAGGGACTACTTGGATTCAAGAAATTGTGGACATGATACATCATGGCGGCGACCCGTGGAAGTGTGACAAGGTCCCTATCTATCAACGGTGCCCCTTCATAGAGCTATTTCTTCCAGAACCCATTTTCACAGGTGAATGTGGGGGGTGCAGCATACTTCTTCACAAAACTATGAAGCACGGCATAAAAGGCTGAGTGTTGTCCATTGGTGTTCCAGGCTTGGAACTGGCTGACAGAATGTCCTCCCCACGTTTGCTGAAAACCCACCTTCCAGTTCATCTTCTGCCACATTCCTTTTGGGAACAAAAATGCAAGGTCAGGACTTGGGGGGGGTGGCATTGAAAGAAGGGTAGGTCTTAATTTGGGTAAATGTTCAGTCCTAGGAGCTGAAATACATTGGCCAGAGTCCTACTGGAGTTTGTGCAAGGCCTGCGTAACTTGCCCTGGCTCACTGCGGTTAATTGGCAAGCTGTTGAAGCACATCTCAGTTGTGTGATCAGAGGAGTGCCCAAGTACATAACTGAGACTCATTGTGGCACCTTGTCAATTTGCAGTGGCATGTTACACAAACCTGATGTTAATGTCAGTAGGATTCTAGCCAAAACATCTGATTATGGCCATGGTCTTGCTGAATTCAATGGGACTTAACCTGTGAGTCAAGCATATCTCATTGCAGGATGAAAGAACTAAGTACTGGCAATATTTTTTTATGGGGAGGGCTGTTCCATGTTGCAACAAGGGATAATTAGTCTTGCATTGCCTTCATCAGTCTGGTACTCATCTCATATGTTCAACTGTAACCCACCTGCCCTTATCTCTGTCTGTGATGCCATTTGTAGTCTGTACTACAATCAGGAGGGTGTCTATGGTTAGGAAAGCCAGAGGTTGAAACTCCTATGTTTGTATTCCTTTTACTGTCTTTCTACAGATCATCTATCTAGCCAGGAACATCAAGGACAATGCAGTTTCCTACTTCCACTTTTGTCGCATGAACCAGCTTACAACAGACCCTGGAGAGTGGAACCATTTCCTGGAGGATTTCATTGCAGGGAAGTGTGAGTAGGGACTGAGAAGCATAAAAATAACAGAGATAGACCTTCATGTGAGAATGTTTGACTATCTTATTAGTAAGGAGGTTGTGGGTCCAATGCAAGTGAGGTAGTAAATTTGTTTGGGGTTCTAGCCTGAGTTATACCGGTATCAGAGCTATCCAAGGTGCTGAAACCTATACCCCAAACAGATTTGGGTAGTTCCTTACTATTTGAAAACAGAGCCCAACTGGTTTCGAATGAATGATAATTTTACTTCAGTTTGGCTTTTAATATGTAGTTACCAATTTGAATATGTGAGGAAGCAGAAGTTGACAGATTTGTCTGAAGATAGTTCAGGTTTAACAAAATCCTGTGAAAAGGGGGGAAACTACATGAACCTGCCATGTTCTTTGTTATGATGATAGTGAAATTGTTTAGTAGTTCCCAGTTCTTTATTTCCGTAAAAGTCTGAAACAGAATTTAGCTAATAAACTGAATAAGTCATTGTTTTTTCTTGTTAACTACCCAGAGTATCCTGGGTAGCTAAATGGGTGGTATACAAATTGAACAAAGAAATATAAATAAAGTAAATAAACATGTGATTTTCTCTACTCATTTTACCGACCTGGGAAGGATAGAAGGCTGAGTCAACCTTGAGCCGGCTACCTGGGATTTGAACCCCAGGTCGTGAGCACAGTTTTAGCTGCAGTACAGCGGTTTAACCACTGCACCACGAGGCTCATATTTCTCCTCTATTCCATCTGATTTGTTTTGTGTCTAATCATGGGAAAGTAAGCATTAGACTAATTTGCAAGTTTGGTTGCTGAGGTATGCATCTCTGAGGAAAGCCCAGAGGAAAGCTCCAAGGAACGAAAATGGATTAATTGGAGTGAATAGGTATTCTCCATAAAAGTTTAATTTCACCCTCTCATTGCAGGTATCTATGGCTCATGGTCTGACCATGTTTCTGGTTGGTGGAAAGCTAAGGACCGTCACCCAATTCTTTACCTTTTTTACGAAGACATGAAAGAGGTATTCATCCCTCTTTCTTTCTTCTTTCCCTCTCACACACATATCCACATACCAGGGCTGTATTTTCCAAGAAGGAGCATTATCTTAATGCACCAATGAACAAACAGAGTGAATTAACAGTAGCAATCAAATGGTAAAATGTATTTCACTTTACAAGTAACTTGCAGGACTGGGGAAGGGATTGATTTTTAGTGAATATCTGTCATATTTGTAGAGAGAGATAACTACATCCTACTTTTCTGAAGTTTATACACAAAAGAGTCAACTATGTAGTCAAAAACTCAGTCACCATAATATCAATGATTCAAACCAACAATCAAGCCAATGAAACAGTGATGAAATCTAAAAATAACATTTAGAGGGCAACATTTACTTCTTATTGTGATGTTCAACTTATAAAACAAACTGGACTGGATCCAGTTTTAGCCATAGCCAGATAAAGCGATAATGATTTCAGCTGGGTTACTCTAAATATGAATAGGCTTCTTTACTGCACCATACTGAAAACTGGATAGTTCACCTGGTAAACAAACAGAATTATTTCAGACGAATAGCTTCATTCTGGCAACAGAACTCAAGTCTTTTGAAGATAGTAAAGGAAACGAGTGAGGAAAGATTATGTTTTCTTTGATGAGAGCTAGAAACTTTAGATTTCCCTCTGTCTGGAGTTTCTTTTGCTAGACAGAATTCACTGCCTTCAACCCAAGTTATCCTTGTAGCTCCTGCTAATACTGTTTATGATGACGATGATGGTGATGATTACGATTATTATTATGATTATGATTATTTTTCCTAGGAACCAGCCCGGGAAATCAGAAAAGTAGCCGAATTCCTGGGCCTTGAGTTCTCAGAATCTGTTTTGAACCAGATTGTGCTACACACAGAATTTTGCAGCATGAAAGTGAACCCAATGACAAATTACACCACACTGCCGCCTTCTATTTTGGACCAAAGTGTATCACCCTACTTGAGGAAAGGTGGGGAGAAAAAGAAAAATATATATAAATTCAAGCTGCATCTGATAAAGTTGAGCCCAGTGGACTCTTGTTTTGTGTCATGTCACACAGGTTGCTTCTATTTCAAAATAAGCCAGAAGACATAAACCTAGAAGAAACTTTGATTTATGTTTCTGGCTTGAGAAGTGGGGTGGTGGTGGTGGAGGGGACAAACCACGGTTTCCAGTTTGGGTGGCACAATGCCACGAAACAAACTTTCCTGATTTGTTTAATAGTCAGGCTAGTGGGGAAAGGTCTAGAAGGAAGCATGCTTGTTTAAATCAAGCCAGGGCCTCTGGAATTCTGGCTTAACATTCCTTGTGAAAAAGCTAGTCTCAATTTAGGAGGAGAAATAGTGAGGCTCAGGATACTTCCTGTATACAACGTTTTTGACCCGATGTTAGTCACCTTGGGTCGTTTTGAGGAGAAAGGTGGGGTAGAAATATTTTAAGTAAGTAAGTAAGTAAATAAATAAATAAATGTAAGGTAAGTAAGCGAGCAAGTTTTAAACCTCCTGGGTTGGAATTGAAAGAAAAAAGGAAGCTGGGTTGTTGTGATAATTATTCCTGGAATTGTCTTCCCACCTGCAGGAATTGTAGGAGATTGGAAGGAATACTTCACAGTAGCTCAAAGTGAAAAACTGGATGGCATCTGTGCCAAGAAGCTGGGTAAGCAAGCGAGTTTTAAACCTCCTGGGTTGGAATTAAAAGAAAAAAGGAAGCTGGGTTGTTGTGATAATTTTTCCTGGAATTGTCTTCCCACCTGCAGGAATTGTAGGAGATTGGAAGGAATACTTCACAGTAGCTCAAAGTGAAAAACTGGATGGCATCTGTGCCAAGAAGCTGGGAAGCAGTGGACTGATTTTCCGCACTCAGCTGTAAGCACAAGTCTGTGGCTATTTGTTTTCGTTTCGTTTAGTCATTTAGTCATGTCCGACTCTTCGTGACCCCATGGAGCACAGAGCACACCAGGCCCTCCTATCTTCCACTGCCTCCTGGAGTTGTGTCAAATTCATTCTGGTAGCTTCGATGACACTGTCCAAATTATGGAGCCCAAGAAAGTCAAATATGTCACTGCCTCCATATCTTTCCCTTCTATTTGCCAGGAGGTGATGGGACCAGTGGCCATGATCTTATTTTTTTTTAATGTTGAGCTTCAGACCATTTTTGGCACTCTCCTCTTTCACCCTCATTAAGAGGTTCTTTAATTCGTCCTCACTTTCTGCCATTAGAGTGGTATCATCCTGTACTGTATGTTGTTGATATTTCTTCTGGCAGTCTTAATTCTGCTTTGGTATTCCTCCAGTCCAGCCTTTCACATGATGTATTCTGCATATACTGTAAGTTAAATAAGCATGGAGACAATATACACCCTTGTTGTACTCCTTTCCCAATTTTGAACCAATCAGTTGTTCCATATCCAGTTCTAACTGTTGCTTCCTGTCCCACGTATAGATTTCTTAGGAGACAGATAAGATGGTCAGGCACTCCCATTTCTTTAAGAACTTGCCACAGTTTGCTGTGGTCACACAGTCAAAGGCTTTTGTGTAGTCAATGAATTGTACAAATGCACTGTAAGTAAGTACAAATGCATTGTATGTGTACGCAATTTATACATCCTGGAACCAAACACAAGTGGTATCTGAAAATCTAAGATTGCAGTGTGATTCACAAAACACAGCTTGCAATGTAATTCCCGAAGTTGCAATGTGATTCACAAACTACAGAGAAAACACAAATGCATATCTCTGAAATGTGGACACTGGAAGAAAATTACACACAAAATACTTCAACTGAATGGGAGAGTGAATACCAAAAAGTTGCATAAAAGTACATTTTGATAAATACAAATGGAAATACAGATTTGTGTGTGTGTGTCAAAAACAAAATGGGTTGCAAACAATCCAATAAAGACCCACTTTGGAACAAGGAGAAAAAGAGAGAATCTTGAGGAAATAGAGTTTGACATGGGTGGAAGTAATAGTGCTCACAGCCCGTTCCTTTCACTCTGTATCCTTGCACAAATATGTAGTTAATCTCACACCAGATTAATGGGATAGGGAAAGTCGTCTCTGGCAAAGGAGCTGGCTGGCTGCTCAATATCAGTATCTGAGAAGCTTCAGCCAAGCCAAGACCACACACAGATTCCCTGTTTTATCAAAAACTTACTAAGACCCTGGATCACTTGTAGCTCTCAGGAAGAAAGAGACAGGCAGAATGAAGTACAGAGATACACAAAGAGAAGGAAGGCTGGAAATCCATAATGGAAGAGAAGCTCAGAGATGGGCATAGCATGGCACCAAGTGATGCTAGAGAGACAGCACTCGTTATTCCAGAGAGGTCTTGAGAGCTCAGTCCATTTTTATGATCCATCCTGCTGGGAAGAGATCTGAAATCTGGGCTACAAAAGTCGGACACCAAGATTCAGAAGCACATTTTATCTGTGGAAATATTTTTGCCGGAGGGCTGGAGTTGAATCAGCACTCCCTAGGAAATCCCCACACTCCTCGAGATCCTGAGGACTTACAGCACTAGACATTTCCACATGGGTTTACTGATGCCTTTGGCCACTCTTCATCACAGGCATCCGTCAGTCTCGAGAGACTATGGTAACATGCTCTGAATTGAGGAGTGTCCTCTCCAGAGCATGAAGCCTGTGTAAAGTAATATGGAGGATAGGCTGTTACCCAAGCATCAGATTCCCCCCTCTCTACATTGCTGAAATGGTCTAATGGAAAGGCAAGAGCCAATACAACTGGTTCCAGCAACGTCGCAGGAGTTGGCAGAACAATATGAACTGTCTTCGGGATCCAGATTCGGATTTTGCCTCTAGGTTAACTCCTGAAGCCTTTTTCATCAGTGGATATAGCCACAAGGCAGTGGAAGTTTGAAATCGGAGTTCTCCTTCTCCTAGATGGGCTGCCATCCATGGCTGACAAGCCCCACCTACCCGGTTGGCCACTCTTACTCTACCTCAATATTCCCCATGGCTGCAGGAGCAAAGAGGATGGGGAACTAAAAAGAACTGCTATGGGTGGAGGTAGCTGCCGCAGGAGGAGATGGAAGCGTATGGATCAGGACCTGGCTGATGGTGACTGGAGCTCCCAGTTATCACATGAGCGCTCTGGGCACCATTGCATGATGATATACCTCTGTTTCATAGGTCCCTCCTTAAAGGTTTTGAGGACAGGATACAAAGAAAAACTCAGAAGATATAGTAAAAAAGAACACGGGATGGTTACAAAAGGATGATATCTTCTCCTTTTAAAAGTCTGTGTTTAAGGCAATGCTATACGTAGTAGGACAGAAGCTTCAACGCCACATTTGGATATTGCTGTTGTTTATACGGGGGATGTTAATTATAAATGGTGAACCATCATGACTCTGCAGCTGAACATTGCTATTAAGCAACGGTCTTGACCTTTGTTATTACAGTTCATGGTTGACTGAAGGCCAACCTATCTCAGGTAGGAGTCACCTGGATTCTCTCCAAGCAGACCTGTTAGGAGCCACCTGAAAGGAAGATGGGAATCTTATGTGTAAGTGCCCAGTTGCAATGGGAGAAAAAATTAGTCAGGCAGCTTACCCCTTGCTTTCTCCAGACACACTCATAGGACATGCAGTAACCTCAGGAAGGAAGAGAGAGGGGAAGAGGCGAACAGTCCAAGGAAGGAAAGGACAACAGACTAACGTGTGGGGCACGAATTGCTGGTAGGTGGGCAGGCAAGTCTTGTTGGCAGGTGGCACCACATAGGAAATGAGGCAGAGCAGTAGCAGCTTTGGGGCAGAAGGTGGAGCAATTTATTCACAGTTGTCTTGCCCCACAAGGTGCCTGTTCCCCAGCCAGGGAAGAAATGTTTGAAGCCCAAATCCATCACATGTGTGAAAGTGTTGGAGACTGAGGGTCACACTATGTCTGAACAGAAAAAAGGGGGAATTCCTGGAGATTGACGGGCTCTTTCAGCAGCAGTGGGATGACCACAGAGATAAGAATATGGGCGACTGAAATTCCAAATAAAACTTGTGTTTACCTTCCTGGGGCCAATCACAAAACAAAGCTTGATGGAGTGCAAGGTACAGTATGGAGTGAAAATGTGTGCTTTAACAGCCAGGTGTCACCACTTAAAGAGACACTGGTTTAAATGACATGGCAACTCGAGCTTGAACTTTAGGAAGTCTCTTTGCTTGAGGACACCGTGGAGCAATGAGATGCAAGATGGCACTTTCTAGTTCTGTCTAATGACCTTGTCATTTGCACATAATCTAAAGTGCAAGTAAATGAGATTAGAAGAAAAATGTGAAGCATGGATACAGCTGGAGGTGTGAGGAGGTAGGAATAGGACAGAGAAAAGAAGTGTGTTTGTCCACAACTAGTATGGAAAAGCAGCAGGCTGACAAGAGTGGAAATACACCACTCTGTCCCTTCTTCTCTCTTGGTGGCAAAATACATCCTAATCATGATGAGACAACACCAAAACATACAAAAATGTATGTTTTGTCTTGGTTTATTATATTAAATTTTACATATGTGCCTTTGCTGGTCATGGCTCTTGTTTTTGCTGAGAAGATTGAAGAGGCATGCATTGCATTTCCAGGATATCCATTTATTGAACTGAACTTTGTCATCAAACAATGGCCCTACATTTGACATCTGCGGGATATGAGGATAGAGGCGAAGGCCAGCCTGTATCAGGTGGGCCAACTGGGTTGTCACTTTGGGGGAAAAATGTCACTTTGAAAAGAAAGTGGTATCATTTTAAGAGGGGAAAGAGAGTCTGGTATCTCTAGACAGATGTGCACATTTATCTCCACTAAGGGTTAAGCATGAAAACAACCTAGAGGTCAACACAGGACAAGGCTCTGGCTAAGGGCCTGTTTGCAGTGGGCAAGAATCATCAGGCAGGCAGGCAGGAAGGCCAGCCGGCCCCTTGCGTCTCTGAATCACACCCAGGATTCATGAACTAACTCCAGGAAGCCCGAGAGAGACAGAGAGAAAGAGAAAGAGGCAGACATCTTCCCAGAGGAAGGAAAGGACGTCAGATTACTCTGAGCAGAGACTAAAGTGCTGGTAGGTGGGCAGGGGTGTCCTGTCATTCCGGTACCAGAGGGGATAAAGCAGGAACATTAGCTAGTTCTGAGGCAGAAGGTGAAGCCATACTCTCCCATCAGTTCTCTTTTCTGTCCCACCAGATAATGAATACCCAACACACATGGGAAACTTTGGATCCGAAATACATCAAGCGTTCCGAGCTAGCAGATGTTCAGGGAGTCCCTTTGCCTGAGGATACTGCAGAGCAGTGGGATATGATATGGGGCTTCAAAGCTCGTCCTGATGACCTTCTTATTTGCACTTACCCCAAAGCAGGAAAATATACATAGAGATTGCCTGGTAACAGGTTCACCATCACTGACTTAGACTGCCATCATACCAACCAAGTCCTGGAACATTGGGACCTGCTGCCTAAGGATGTCTCTCTTCCTGCAAAGGACCTGTGTTGCACTCTCCAAGCTTCCGAGGACACAGACCTGTAGGTCCCACTCTTCTTAGCCCAGCAGAAGAGGCACACCAATAGGGAGAAGGAACCTGCTGGAAGTACAGGTAGGTTTGTTCATGTGGATCAACACAGCAGCCTGCTTTTTTCCCTCTCTTTTCTTTCTTTCTTTTTCTTTTACTTTCCTTGATGCATGGCTCTGAAGATGGGCAAGATGAACGTCAACAACTTTTAAATTCACCACACCTTTCGAAGTCACTCTCCACTCCCACCCCGAAAACTTGACCAAACCTAACGCAGTTTTATGACACAGGATCAATACGCGAGTGTGAAGCAGAGTTAAAACTGGTTCATATTAACTCCTAATAATTACGTTAATTCTTTCTGAATGAACTGAGGAAGGGAGAGGGCATACATCTGATACAAATCAGTGCTACTTTCATGTAATTCTTTTGCTAATTGGGCTGTTTTCCCGAATTTTCGCCTCTTTATTTCCACAGCAGTTGCCTTTCTCGTGTACATTTCTGGCAGCCGCAACGGGAAAACTGCAAGTTTAATTAAGACTGCGTCCCCCTGGAACTATCTTTAGGTGACCCAGCCCTTCGGAGCCTGAAACCGCTCTGCCTCATGGGAATTGTAGTATTATGACCTACGCCCGCCTATTCGTGACACAGTTCTCCGCGGCGGGAATACGCTAAACGGCCGCATTGCATTATGGGGAAAGGACGGCTTCTCCGCGAGATGCTTTCTGGGAGTTGTATTTTTTTGCTCACCGGCTTCTTTGCATAGGCCTCTCCGCCTCTTCCGTTGCCTAGGTGCTCGTCAGCAGCCATGCCCGGGAGCAGGAGGGCCCGCGAAGCTGCCAACCCCCCAGTGGCGGGTGGGATTGAGTCGGTGACAGAAAAGATCTTACGGGAGGCCCATTCGCTTTATGTGCATCCGGGTCATGGTAAGGATGGGTTGGTGTGAAAAATCGAGGTGGTGGTGGGGGTTCCTTTGCAAATAAAGGACTTTGGGGGGGGGCAGGCAGGCAGTCAAGGCGACCCTCATCTTGTTTTGCCCTCTCTCTGCAGGTCTGGTGTCTATCGGGGCTCGGCTGGGACTGACCCTGCTTCCACCACGCCGCAAAGTGACCGTCATGGTGATGGGCAACCACAGTGCTGGCAAGAGCAGCTTCATTAACTGGTGAGGAGACCAGAGGGGGAAAAAGGGGGTCTGGGCTGAAATGGGGACAGTGTTGGTGTGGGAAAATGCTAAGGCATTGAGTGGCATGGGTGCAAGTCGGCATGGGGGAGACCTTAGGATGCAGATAGGTGGGGTATAAATAAATGAATAAATGAATGAATGAATAAATGAATGTTGTGGGGAAATCAGCGGTGTGTGTGTGTGTGTGTGTGTGTGTGTGTGTAAAATATCATGGGGAAGGAAATGGCCTGAGATTTGGGGTTAACCATGTGGTTTGTTTTGGCTTTGTATTGTGGTGTTTTTCACAGCTTGGGGGAAATGTTACATTTAAATAGGAAGTGCTATGTTTGCATTAAGCATTGTTCTGCTACATTAATGCAATATAAAGATAGTGTTTATTGCCATATCTGCAATTTATAGACAAGATACACTGGCAAAACAGTATCATAAATTGTTGCTACAGTTGTGAAAACATCAGTTCAGTGCACCACACAACAAAGTTAAATAAAAAGGGGTTGTAATAGGATAATGTTTTGAGTATGAGGTACAAGTTGTCATTCAAATTAATTGGTTTGGTTGATAACCTGGGGATTACACCGCCTTTTAAAATCTAACTTTTGTTGGGTGGCACACTGCTTGCATAATGTAAAAAAAGTTGGGTGACCACTTTCTGTTATGAGATATTTTAGCAGTTAGAGCTAGTTGCCTTTTCAGGACATTGTGAGCAACTGAACTTTGATGTTGATATTGGTTGACTAGGATGTCTTGGCAGAAAATTGACATTTCAAGGAAGCTACTAATTCCACCATCACCCCACAGCCAGGCATATTTTGAGCTTTTCTTAACATGCCCTTGCAGGTATGTGGAGGAGCACATCCAACGAACCGGTGTGGCTATTGAAACTCAGGGTTTCACCTTCATCACCAGTGGAAGGAAGCGGGAATCTCTTACGGTGAGAATTTCTTCCTCTGACTAGCACCCTTTTGGAGAAGACCGCTACCCTTCTGCCATTCTCTGAACTGAAAATGTTTGGTTTCACACAGCAGGTAGTTTCCGATGGAACCCCAACTAGAAGGAATACAGCCATTTTGGTGCCTGAAGCAAAGAACATGATGATACCCTTTCCCATTCCATCTTTTAAAAAAACAAAACAAAACACTGACTGGCAGTGGAATGTCCAAATTGGCTGGCTCAGTAGATAACTTGGGGATTACAACTAGACATGGGGGTATTTGTATTCGTATATGAATACGAGCATCCCTGGGCAGCTGGACTTAACAAGGGGCCTGCCCCTGGGGCCGAACTGTCCACTCACATGTCTGGCGGCAGCGGTGGCCCCACTCATCCTTCTAGTCGCGCCTGGAGCACCACTCTCTTCCCGCTCGGCTGGCCACTCTGCAGCCATGCAGGGAGACTCACCCTCCGTCCCCCTCCCTGGAGTGGCTAGCTGAGCGGGAAGAGAGTGGTGTTCTGGATGCGATTGGAAGGATGAGCAGGGTTGCCGGCACCACCAGATGCATGAGTGGACCCTCATTAAGTCCAGCTGTGTGGGGTTATTTATATTCATATACTAATACGAATACCCCATCTCTAATTACCACCTATTTTATCTAGTTTTGTTGTGTGGTGCACTAAACTGATGGTTCCATAATTTAAGAACAAGATATGTGGCCACTGCATGATGTGAGATATTTAACTTCAGCTTTCTTGTTAGAACATTGCATCTTTCTCACCTCAAGACTAACTTAGGGGGTGCAGGGAAGATCACACAGCATACTGCTGTCTCTTCTAGCCCCAGACTGTGTCCCCCTAGTATCTGTTGCCTGAAGCATCTGTCTCATAAATCAGAGTCAGTACTACAGTGATCTTAGCCCACAAACTAGACAAGATGGAGAAAGCCATCCTGTGTTTATTATTCTCAGTCATATTCTCTTTTCAAAAACATGGCTTTCTGGTTTGGGCTATGATTGCTAAAGCCACTTGACCATTAGTAGAACCTGCAGTAAAATGTTGCAGTGTAGTAGCCCTAATGTTCCCTGTCACTCCCTGCTCCACTCCATTTCTCTGCCTCATTGTTTTGCCCCTCTCCATATGTCAGCTTTCCCTCCCCACTGAACATGCTCAATGTTTTTTCCCCTACAGTTTTTTTTAGTTCTTTTCTGGTTTGGTTTGGTTTCATTTGGGCCCCCTGAACTCTTCTGTAGTCCTGGAAATCTTGAGGATCCTTCATGCTTGCTCATACCTCCATCTTAAGCAAGGATTGTGCTATTCAGGGTCTGATGCTGGTATACGGCATAAACTGATCCTCTGTGGATTTGTTTAATCCTTCTAAAAGCCATCTGTGCTGTAGCCATAGTGATGCCCTGTGTCCTAAATCCCTTTGTTTTTCCCTCCTTCCATTTTTGTAGGGTAATGCTACACTTCATCTGTACCCCCATTTCCAGGCTTTACAGAACTTCAAAGGTTAGTTACACCCACTTGGAATAAAAGCATACATCTGATTTAGATAGTAGCTGTTGCCATGAGACACGACACTTGCTACTAAAGAATGCAGCAGGCAATTGTTAAAAATGTTGTCAATGATTATTAAGATAGATGGGTGGTGAGATCGGGAAGGTAGCACCTGTTTTTGGTGTAGATGGAGAGCTGGCATGGTGTTTGCCACATGTCAGTGGCAAGAGGCTGCTGTAAAGTTTTAATATTCTGTTCCTTCTACTTCATTTAGGGGTGCCAGAGTACTTGAGCACTGAGATCTGTACCTCCAAACATAAGCAGTTCCCCCTGGTTACCTTCCTTGATACACCAGGCTTGGTGGATGGTGATATGAAATACCCATTTGATGTGGAAGCAGCCCTCATCTGGTTCGGTGAGTATGGCAGCAACATGGAGTGGTCAGGTAGTACTATCTCCTACTAATCTAGACTGTGACATCAGGAAGATATGAGAACTCCCATTCCAGGTGGTGCTAGCATCTAAAAGGAGATCAACCTGTGCAAGAACAAGATAAAGAAGGAGATACAGGCAATGGGTGGTGAAATTTTGTCCTCCAACTGTTTTGGTCTATAGCTCCGGCAGTACATTTCTATTGAGTATGCTAGTAAGGCTGAGGGAGTTATAGATCAGGATTGGCAGTAGTTTGCCAAGGCGTTCTGTCTCCTAGTTATTTAACAATAAAATGTTTAGGTTTAAGATAAGAGTGCCAGAATTGTTGATCTGGAGTAACTTAGATGTAGATTTGTATCTGGGGGTGCAGGATATCCCATTTTGTGGCTCATGGGTTATTGCTGGTAGTGACACACATCCCCAATCACTATTTTGCATTTAGTCCCGGTTGGTAAAGCAGGGTTTCTAGTAAAATTACAGTCAGTTCTGCTAGCCAGAAATCTGTGTTTTCCTGTAGTGGTGTACTGTAATGCTTTCCTTGTGTATACACACACACCACCCTGCCATCTTCCTGTTTTCTCACTTTAGGTCAGCTTTGTGACCTCATCCTGGTCTTCTTTGATCCCATGGGACAGGCACTTTGCAAACGCACCCTCAATATTGTGGAGAAGCTCAATGAGGAACATGGTGACAAGCTACATTTTTACCTCAGCAAGGCTGACGAGGCTGGCGCTGAGGGTGACAGACAGGTACCCCCAGGGAGAAAATCCCTTCAGGATACTTGGCAAGAACTGGGAGATGGAGTCCTTGTTTCAAAGAGGGAAGTGACCAAGAGTAGCAAAAAGGTTTCAGTGTTTGCTTCTCTTTTTTTGATCCTGGCCTGTGTTTTCCCCTGACAGAGGGTGCTGATGCAGATTGTTCAGGAACTTTGTAAGCGTCCAGGCCTGAATAAGTGTGGGTTTGATATGCCCACAATCTACATCCCTAGCTCCAATAAGGTGAGTGGCAATTGTTTCTACACAGACCATCCTATGTATTGTGTTATAGGGGTCAGGCCAATCATTGGGCCACAGTGAAATCTAGCTAGTGAAAAGGTGGCAAGCTGGAGGATGTCTAAGGAAAAACAAGTGACATGTTGAAGTTTTGGCAGAATGGTCTTTTATAAGCAGGATGCTGATGGTGTGTAAAATATGTTCTGAGTAACTAATCTTGCTCACTCCATCAGCCAAGCCGGTGTGTAAATCAGATTGAGGAGATCTGCCGAACCATTGAAAAGACAATCAGCCAAACTGTCCAGCACATTCTCAATGCCCTGGAGCGGGACTGTCACCTCATCTGTGAGGCTACGCAGCAGCTGCTACAGG